ATTCTCTTGCAATCTCTTGCTGGGTCATTGAGGTGTGGCCTGACAAAGTGATGATTTTCACCTTGATGGCCTCTGTCAATTGTTTTGCCTTGCCCATCACTTCTTGTGCATAAAAAATGCAGCAACCACACCTACAGTAACCCTGCGGATGCTGTGCAGATATGTTGATATTTCCTTGCTAATGGTTGGTTCGATACTATGCACTTTATGGTTCAGTACACATGCTGACTTGTTTAGGCATAGAGGCATACCAACACAAGATGTCTTGAGCTTAACCTACCACACAAACGCACACACACGCATGCTTAGCATACTCCTTGGCAAACCCACGTCTGTAGCTATGACTAATCAATTAGCCAGCATGATATAGGGTAAAAGACCCAGTGATGGGCCTGTTAATGGCGGGTACTCAGTGATGGGCCACTTCGCAGGAAAATTCCAAAAACTAGGCATTTGTTCCATGAACACGTCTAAAGTGCCTATGTGCTTGAATGCTGCTAGCATATGTCACAACATGGGTAGGCTTGCTATGGAAGCTTAGCTATTGGAATTTTTATGTGCTGTGGCCCATCACTGGGTCTTTTACCCTATGTACCCTGGGAAGCAGCATTTTATCGCAATTGTGATTGAAGCTATGAATGGACAATTACCATAAACTTTCTGCCGGCACTGTATATCAGGTCTTGAGTTTTTGGCAGTTGTTGCTCCCTGAGTACAGAAACCTAAATTTTCACTAGATCTGATCTAAGTAAGCATGAGCTCAGGTGTCAGTTTTGAAAAAGTTTTCCAAGGCTTGATGAGGATTGCTGTAATATTCATTTACTATTTCCTTCTGTAATCAAAGACTGATCGGAGTAGTGCACGAGATGAGCGGTACCTGTACATTCGATCTCAACTCCTTCAGCTGCGATATGGAGTGTCAGTTGAGAGTCTAAGCATGCGTTCACGTCCTCTCAGTAGCCTGAGTCGACCCAGTTCCCTGCCAGCACTTGAGTCCCCGGCCACTGTGAGTTCTAATTTCACTACAGTCACTCATGGAAGGATTAGGCTTGTTTCATTGGTATGGCTGCTGCTTGCAGGAGTCACCTGCATGGGGTAAGGTGGACATGAGGGGGATGAGGGTTGTCCCTACAAATCAAGCCAGGGCATCTAGGGCCATTGCAGGCAATACCTCCATTGGAGAGCATTATGCCTTTGCAGGAATGCATCATATCTTTGACCAGGTTTGCTTAACTTATGGAATGATCCTCATGAGTTCTGTGGTATTTATTCAGTCTGAAGATAAAACTAAGATAATGACTGATGGTTCACCAATTTTTCTGAGAAACAACAGTTTTCTTGTATTTGCGGTTTTTCAGCATGCATCATCTGCAGTGACGACAGTTAAATTTGCCAATAATGACCGGAGCCTCCTTGGTTGTTCATCTCTGGATGGTTGTGTCTCCATTTGTTCCATGTTTCCTGAGCCCAGAGTAATCTTCATCCTCAAGGGACATTCCCAAGGAGCACCAGGTTCATTTACTTGCATCCATCCTTCATTCTAAGGAGATTTATGACCCTGTTGTATTATTTTGCCTCTATGTCTCAACAGATTTTGACTGGTCCTCAACCAACGATCTCATTGTGTCGTGTTCCCTTGATCAGTCCATGCGTCTGTGGGATGCAAATACTGGCAATTGCTTGCGTACTGTTTTCAGTCCTACCCAAGCACAATACCTCTCCTGTCTCTTCCAACCATCCAACAACAATTTTGTTGTGGTATTACTATTGTTTTGCCCTGATTGCATTATAGATAACTGGCTGGATGTTGATAGGTTAAAAATTTGTGTTGAGCAGCTGGGATCATCCAAGGGGGAGATCCAAGTGGTGAATGTGTCAACGGGGATCTTCCCACGAGGAGGATCCATCCATGTCCTTGGAGGAAGTGGAGGAGGAGGAGGGGGAGGAGGACACCCACCAAAGATCCTTTCTCTTGCCTTTGATCCCCCAGGAAATGTCCTCTGGGCTGCTGATGACAAAGTCTGTGCCTCTCTCCACTTCATCACCTTTCTCATTTAACATGTTTTTTCTCTTTATCGTTTGATTGACTGCTATGGCTACTTTTATTTAGCAGAACATCAAGTGGGAGCTTATGCCTGGGAAGTTCCATTTGCAAATGATCACCTGGTTTTTTAGGAATTAAATTATCAAGGAGAATTTATTGCAAAGCAACCCAATGTGAATGAGAAGTAGTGGGATAACAGTTTGTAGATGTAGCCACAAATTATCCATGAACTTTAATATTGACTGAACGAATTATCTTAATACTTGATCTAAGCAAGTGCATAATCTCCTCTTACAAATGCACTTGCTTCTAGGATTGACACGTTTTTAGTTCAATTTGTCAAAGAATTAAACATGATCAGCCTTCCTCAGTTTTTGAAAGTGATTTTGCTGCTCCTTGATTGCATGAGGTCATGTTGGTATCCTTGCTCCACTCCTATGGCAATCTATTATACAATTTTTCAGTTCCATAAGTTGAAAAATTCCAGAACTTTTGAGGATTGTCATGTGGATAACCAAACTGGTTGCTGGCTTTGTCTGATAAACAATTAGGAGCCCATCATTTGCTTTGCATCCATCATTTACAGTCAGCAGCGTGGATATGATGCTCCAAAGATTTTAGTGTCTCAGTACTGTATTCATGGGATTTTTTTGTTTCCAACCATTGAAACTCGGTGCTATCAATTGATAACACTCTTTCCCCATATTCTCATAGTTTTGTAATATCAACTGCTTAAATTATTTTCTGATAGGTGCATCTTTTAGTTGTCTGCTGACTGTGTCATCAAGTATTTTTTATTTCCATTTCTAGGGCTGTGTCACGTCTTTGCTGTTCCAAGGCATGACAGGTCACTTGACAAGGGGACATCGTCTGACAATATTTGAAAATACTCCCATAACATCCCTGGAGTGTAGGACTTGGCTCAGCCGAGAAGCCCCAGACCCAACGCTCCTTGTGAACTGTGCATCTAACCGCCTCTGTGCCTTCAGGTCCTTCCGCTCTTTTTCTTCCTATCACCTATTGTCACTTTCAGCAAGCCAGACTTGTAACTGGATTCTACCTTACCCCAAATCTTCAGAAATTATTAGTATTGGGAGTCTCATTAGAAAGTTCGAAGGAAATGTACATCTTCCAATGCATCCTCCTTGAGATGCTTTCCTCCAATTCTCAAGGGCTGAGTGCAAAGAGAAGGCATGATAGCTTAAACAAATATAAATGGTATATGTTGCTTGAAAAATGAATGCATCATCAAAAATATGTCCAATCCATGCACTCCATAAAAACATGTTCCATGCCTATGCACTCTCTTCTGTGCCCAATGCTGTCGCCTTATTTTCCTGCTTATACTCTCAGAAAATTTCCAAGTCGTCACTCTATCAATTGCAATAATTTTACTTTCCAAAATATCCACTGTGGCTGGATGACTGATTGGTGGATCCCTTCCACAGGGTTGAGGGAAAAGATGGAAGCCTCAAGTTCAGAAGGGTTTTTCCCGTCAAGCACACCAAGTATTGCGTGAAGTCTACTTTCTGCCCCATCATGTCCTTCAGACAGGGCATCGCAATCGGTATCATTCTTCCTGTTCTTGCCCCAGATACGCTCGATCTGGAATGACATCTGCAAAAGCGTGTTTTCCTCCTTCAGTCAGCGGTAGCGAGGACGGAGTCATCTACTTCTTCGACTTGGAGAGGGAGCAGAAGTCGTGCTTCAACACGCTCCAGGGCCATTCGTCACCCGTCCTCGACGTGGCCTTCAACTACGACGAGTCGCTACTGGCTTCCAGCGACGCGAGCGGTCTCGTCATCGTCTGGAAGAAGTGAATCCCGTCTGTGATGCTTTTTGGCCGATCTTGTTTTCCGGGTGCTGGTTTGAGGTCAGAGATGATGCAGTGATTTTTCAGATTAAAGAATTGCACTACGACATCCCTTCCGATTCGAGTCATGCTGACATGCAGAAGCCAAAGATCCCTTTGAATGTCTGTGAGTCAGCAGAAACATGCAATTCAACCTCATTGTGAGCTTACAACACAGGAGAACAGATTACATATTGTTTCACAGCAGCAGTGTATTAGGACAGTTTCAGAGGTTTCACCCAGAAAGGAGAAATGCCCATCTCCTGATGCTAATGCATGAGTCTGATGCTTGTAGACAGGTTGTTAAGAATCATGTTGTGGAAACATGGTGGAGCGAGAGCAGGCAAGTGGTTTCATGCAAGCGGGTTTAAGCTCAGTCGCACCAGGGATGATGAAAATGAAGTTGGTTTTGAGAACATATGCTATTTGTTTCATTACATTATTTGAAAAAGTTTCATCCTGTGCAGGAAGAGATTCACACAAAGCTGGTACCGAAAGACGATCGTGACGAAGCCGAGTTGCAAACCCGCCGAACGTCAACAACTAGAGCCCACATTTCTGCAGCCTTCAAAAATGTCTCCAAAAGGCACACAAAGCAACTCACCCCCCAATTGACTTAAACTTGCACATTTATTGACGGGTTCATAGACCACCATGTAAATTTAGGCAATTTGATTTTCCATAATACACTTAGTCCCAAATTTTTTTCTTCAAGTTTTTCAATGTGTAGCTATTCACAATCGGTTCAGACTACGGCTGCGCGCTTCCAAAAGCCGACTGAGACGTCGAAGGAGCACGTTCACGTAAAGTTGCATCAAAATCCACGGACTCGTCTGCAGGAGATCGGCGGCTGGTGCTTCGAGCACCTCCTCGGAGTGTGAAACGCCCACCCTCACCCCAGTAGCACCCCAATATTGGATCAATATCGGCTACCACAGAATATAAATATTGGACCATTATGGGAATTATTACTGGGCCCTTGTTAGGCCATCGGTGTTAATAATTTCTCCCAAATTCTTTATCCAGTATTTATCCTTTACCCAGGGCGAAGGCATTTCTATTTACAGTATCGGACGGCCTGTTCTCGTACAACCCCCTGCCCGTCTCGTGGCTGTCGCAAGGAAAGGCAGGAGACATAGACAATACAGAGATTCATCTTCCTCTGTGTATTAATTGTAGTGCAATTTAGGGGAAGGTCCACTTCCTTACTAATTCTTGGGAGTACCTGCAACTTCAGTCCCTCGTTATCACATTACGTCGTCTAGACATGGAAACGGAAAACCAAACTAGCGAATAACTTGACGTTTTATCACCTCCTAAGTATGTAATTAACTTGTTAAATGGATCTCACAGGGAATATGAGCTTGTTTATGGCCTGGGCTCCACGATTCTGTCTCGAATATCTAGATAACAAATGACGAAGTGTCCGCGTTTACTCATTCCTATAATGAGACCAGGCGAGACATACGGCGAGGTACTAAACACTCCTGCGAATGACGATTCCAGGGGAAAAGGGACGGGTACTTCCGTGTACTGTGCGAAAAGCGAGACCTATGCCTCCATCTAGTGGCCTGAAGGAGAACTTCAAAATTTCCCAAAAACTTTCAAGCACGGTCGGACACATTGGATCATCGCTTCAGAGCAATATCGGATCGATCATGGAATGGCATTATTGGGGGAGCAAACATTTAGCCTATATTGGCATCATTGCCCAAGCTCAACGTACCCAATGTCGGTCCAGCATCGAGCCGATACCTGGGGTAGCTGGTTGGCCTCTATGTTGGCCACCATCATTTCGTACCATGTACTTAAATTCATCATCATTCAGGCATTCCCATCTGTAAGTACGGACCCTGTAATACGTAGAAAACCCTGCCATGGACATGTTCATATGCCCTCGATAGGCAAGAAACTCAGGACAACAAGTCACTGATCGACCCTGACTGTATCGATAACAGTGCACGTCAGGGGTTGGATCACCTTATACTGCTTCCTGAAGTATCCGCGTTATCTGTCCTGCATTTCCTCATTACAGAAATAATACGAATACGAATAAATACGAAATAACGGAAATAAGTTGAGCATTCAAAAGAATTCTCATCGGAGCCTGGGCTCCCCGATTCTGTCTCGAATATCTTGATAACAAATGACGAAGTGTCCGCGCTTACTCATTCCTATAATGAGACCAGGCAAGACATACGGCCAGGTACTAAACACTCCTGCGAATGACGATTCCAGGGAGAAAGGAAGGGTACTTTTGTGTACCGTGCGGAAAGCGAGAACCATAACTCCATCTAGTGGCCTGGCGAAGAACTTCAAACTCCATCGGGAGTTTTGCAGTGCTTCTCCACGTGGGGATATGCCCGCATTGAGCCAACCCTCACGTTCCGCCTACGTTGGCCCAACGTAACGCGTTATCTTCTATCATCACCGGATTTTATCACGTTCCGGCTCTGGTGCGTATCTGCGAATTTTTTTCCATTTTGGGATTCCCGATTTTAAGTGCATGAAGCTTCTGACAGCTTTGAAACTTGTTATTCTCATTATTTTCACTGAAATGACATCCCCAAATGGTTTTTTCACCTTTTTTTCTAGCGAGCAAGTAAAAACCCTACATTATTCTGCTACAAAAACGTTTGTACTCCTTTGCAACACTCGCTCGTAACACCATTTACATTCTTCTAATTTCAAGTTACAGGCGGAACCCCGAACCTTACCCAAGCCAAAGAAAAGGCATTCGTAACTAGAACGACAAAAAAAAAAAAATTCGCAGGTCGTTTCGCGCATCGATTCTGTATGTAAACGTTCCCCGACTGTTTGCTTCCTTCCGTCTAAACCCGGCGAATCTGTTTGCACGGGCAATGATTAATCCGAGGGTTCGCGCAGTCCTCCAATAGGAGAGACGCTCGACGACGCTAGCGCGACTTTCAGGCAGGCTCAAGCTGGGAAGGTCTTGGAATTGCTACGAGCTGGGAAGGCTAAAAGATTGCTACCAGCTGGGAAGGCTGTAGGATGGTGGAGGTCGGCTGGGCGGACCTCCTCGTTCGCGTTCGGTCGAAGGGCCCCGCCGAGCAGTGGATGGTCGCCGGGTGGGGGGATGCCTCCTTTCGGTGCGTCGTCTTTCGCGGGTTCACTCCGCGGCCGGAAAAAAAGGATGTTCCCCAGGTGAGGCTCGAACTCACAACCCCGGCATGACTCACGGGCACTGCCTTATAAGTACCGTGCGCTAACCGATTGCGCCACTGGGGAAGCCGAGGGAGATACGCCGTTCCCGCCTCGTTTCTTCGGAAATTCCTTTCCGTCGCCGCGGTCGAATGCGACGTTTCCGGCGGTGCGATCGCCGCGATGGGTGCCGCGTCCAAATCCTCCGGGATGAAAACGAAAGCGTCCGTGCTTTCGTGCTTCCTTCGACTTCCATTCGCTTCCTAGCAAAAAGACACGCGAGTCGTAAAGATAATTTGCGTATGCGTTCGTCATCCGATGCGATCGGGAGGCAATGCATAAATGCACATGCACCTCGTTTATTTTTTCTACGAGTGACTTTGCATCCACCTCGTAGCGATCGAGCGCGATCGAGCGCGATCGTCAGATGCATCAGGAGACACAGACGGCTTACTGTTTCTTGCCGGCTAAGGCATCATAATCGTCTTTCCGTCGCATCGCGGTCGACGGGAGAAAGGGCGTCATGGCTTGGCTCACTTGCTGATAACCTCGGACCCACGTGACCCTTCTGGTTTAGGTGACCCAGGTGACCCTTCTGGTTTAGGTGACCCAGGCGACCCTTCTGGTTTAGGTGACCCAGGTGACCCTTCTGGTTTAGGTGACCCAGGTGACCCTTCTGGTTTAGGTGACCCAGGTGACCCTTCTGGTTTAGGTGACCCAGGTGACCTTTCTGGTTTAGGTGACCCACCTGCCCCATCGGCGACCCATCCGAGGTCTGTAGGCCCCCCCCCATCGCTCGTCCCGCAACGTAAGACGACTAACCTCTTGAAAAAAAAAAGGCAGAGATACCTAAAAGGGAATTCCAGCCCCGATAAGGATTCAGGAGAACTCGAGATTATCGATGCGCTTTGTGACGTCACTTTCGTCTCATCTCGGCTCGCGACGGCAAAAGCGTAATCGGGGTCATTCATTTTATATCATGCTACACATCCAGGCGACGACGAAACGACCGGACGGTTAACCGACGGTTACGCTTTTATCCGAGGCGCACGTCCCTCGTTCGACGGGTGGTTTTTCATTTCGTAGTTGAAATTCTGGGGGCGTTTCCTCTTCTCGTTTTCCGGGTTCGCGGATTCCTCGCCTCATCGCTCGTCGGGAAGGATGTGCTGACGTCCCTCCGGAGGATGTGCTGACGTCCCTCCGGAGGATGTGCTGACGTCCCTCCGGAGGATGTGCTGACAAGTGGAAAATCTCGGGAGTTCCCTACCGACTTTTCACGTTTTTCCTCCGCACTTTTCCCGATCCGCAGAATTTATTGCGCGACGCAATTTGCCCTTCGCAAAGAGGTCTTCCCCCTTTTAACGACTCATAACGCTCGATCCAATATTCTCGACCCCTGCCATCCGATATTCTAGAGCGGAGGACGTCACAAATGGAGGACGTCACCCCCGGGTGGAGGAAATGACCCGAAATCTCTCGGATCGCCGGGTCGCATGGGTCCGTCATCCACAGCGGGAGAGTCACGGCTCCCCCGGAGACCTCCCTTCCCCGCTCGTGCCCTTCCTCGCTCGCACCCTTCCCCGCTCGTGCCCTTCCTCGCTCGTGCCCTTCCCTGCTGGAAAGGAATGAGCCGCTTCATTCCGTGGTCTTTCCATCTCGTAATAGAAGCCTTCTCGTCGGAGAATTCGCTTTCGAAGAAGAGCGAGAGGAAGCGGAAAGCGAGGGCTTCCCGAGCGAATCTTGTGGAATTTTTGGAATGGCATGCCCAGGAAGCGTTCTCGGTGGGCCCTCGGTGGACCACCGGTGGACCACCAGTGGACCCCCCTGGTTTTCGAGAGAATAGAAAATAGAAACGATAAAAAAAAGTGATTCCTGGAATCTTCTGACGTCACGAAAATCTCGCAGCATCCCCGTGGCAAAACGCGATTCGTTTTACGAATTGTTTCGAGTCATCCTCGAAGCGGACCGATCCGAGGTGATCACTCTGACGCGGGGGAGGGGGGGGGGGGGGGGGGAGGGGGGGTAAGGGTATAGAGTGATTCAATTTGGATATTATGGGGGTTACAGGCGGGAGGAAGACAGTTTGTCACAGGCCTTCGTTGGCCTGGAAGCCGACCCTGAAGCCTTCGAGGATGCTTCCCTGGCCTCGAATGCTTTTGCTGCGTGGCCCAGACGTTTCACAATCGCGATACGTTTCGCGGCCGTACGAAACTTTCCCTCGATCGCTGCGTCATTAAATAGGCTTACCTTTCACAGTTGGGCCTACGATGGGGCCTACGGTGGGGCCTACGCGATAGGCCTTGCCGATCCATCGGCTCGGCACCTGCGCTGACTGGACGAGGAAACGAGGAGAGGAAGGTGGGAGAGTTGGAGGATGAGAGAAAAAAAAGTTCCCCAGGTGAGGCTCGAACTCACAACCCCGGCATAACTCACGGGCACTGCCATATAAGTACCGTGCGCTAACCAATTGCGCCACTGGGGACTCTGAGCAGCGAGGAAGCGGTAAGCTCCCATTGGATCGCACTCACTCTTCTCCAGGGTTGCCGGATGTTTCAACTGGATATTCGAGTTTCTCGCCTTACCACCTTTTGAAAATAAGTTCAAAGTGCTTTGTATTTCCTCTGTTAAGCTTATATATGATTTTAAATGAGATGTTTTTGTCTTTTCTTCGGAAATGATCGAACTAAATGCGTGATTATGAGATGGAATATTCAGGACTTCTAAGGCCACCCACTCAGTATGCACGTTCGAGCAGAGTGTGACGTGTGGCTGTGGCTGTGGCTGTGGCAACGTGCCGTATTATCGCAAAGCCCCGTTCAGTGGCTCGAACGCCGGGGGTCGCTCGGCCTAGCGTTAGCCTACTCTCTGCGCTGCTCGCTGCTCGTATCGCTTCGTGTTTGGCTTGCCTGGAATGGGACTAGGATGGTGGGGATGGTACCGGGTGCTATGGTGAAACCAGATAGAAACGCTGAGACTGTCAGGCCCTAAGTGTTATCGTGGAATGTACGTATTTATGAATCAGTCGGAATGTTTCACTTTGTGCTTTCTTAGTTCGGACGATTGTCTGTGTGCGTGGAAAGGGAAAAGAGGTGTGATCTCTGACTAAACTTGATCTGTGTCAGTGGGTAGACCCGATTAGAATATAGAGATGGTGGAGTGTAACAGGTTATTTTTCAGGTTCTGCAAGTCCAGGACATGGCACTCGGACACTTCTTTTTTCGCCAGTTGAATTTTCTGTATGCTTAGGCCAACCTGATGTGCCTGTATATGCATTAGTGAATTCATTTGTTTTCAGATTGGCTGTGACCAATCCCCCTCAGGGTTGGGTTTGCCTCAATGCTCATGCTACAGTATGAGTTGGCTTCAAGCATCAGGAATTGCTAGCTTTGCTAAAAATGCTCTGAAGGAAGCTCAAAAAACACTTGACAAGGCATTAGATATTACTGAAGATGATGAACAGGAGAATTCAACAGAAGATGGAGTGGATGAGCAAGAGAACCACAAGGAAGACATTCCAGGTGAGTTTATTAATGGTTACGAGAAGGGAGAAATGAACTGCCTCTTGTGTAACAATGGCAGTTTATGTCATTGTGCTACCTAACCCTGGTCCTTCCAAACTGTATCTCTCATCCCTTGCTATGATGTCTGGTATGAAATTCTGTTTTTTTGTTGTTGTTGATTTTCATTTGATCAAGTCTGATTGTAATTGTAATGGAATCTGATAGAGTCTCAACTGCTCTACTTGCAGTTACCGAGTCAGAAACAGAAAACTTCTTCACTTCGTTTGGGCTAGCAGACAAGAATAAGGCCTCAAATAGATTGACAGCATCATCAATCTGGGGCTCCTTTGCTGGGTCTTTCTTTGAAACTCCAGCAATTCCAGAAGAGAAGCCAAAGCATGATGGTAGGTATTATTATTCTGTGGACACCCAATTGAAATTGGAAGAATTAGTGCAAGGTAGAGGTGTCATGTCTAATCTTTAGATTTGAGGAAGAACCCTGAAGCTGTGATAAATGCTGAGCCAAAAACATCCCAGAGTGATGTTGAGCTTGAGAGTGGAAGTGAAGTGACAGTTGGAAGCAGTGCATGGGCGACTGCCAGTGATCGCGGAAGCCTGACCAATTCGGGCAATGGAAACTTGATCGTCTCAGGAAGTGGAAGCCTGACCGTTTCAGGCAGTGAGAGTGTGCATAGTTGCCCCAGTTCTCACACGGTGGTGGATGATGGGTTCATCCACTGCTCGTTGAACGATGAGTCGGAGAACGAAGAGGAAAATGAAGATGACAGGGCCACACCAGAAAACCTGCCCGAGGATCATTCCCTTGCATCTTCTGACGAGAGGTGAGCCCGATCTGACAGTCCATGAGGACTCTTGAAAAACTCTTTTTATTCACTGATATATTTATTTTTATGTAGGTCTTATGACTTCCCAAAAGTTGAATCTGGACATACTAGCCCTGGTCCCATGTCTGGAGATGATGGTGAGACTGGCACAGGCACATCATCTGACATTGAAGTGATATCAAGGTTTGTTGGATTTCATTATTGTGAGCTTGCTTGGTTAGCTGGGTGTACAAGGTTAACTGAACTAGAATGGTGTCATTCCATGTCTGCAGAGCAGACCATGACAGGACTCAGCAAGGTGATCATAAGAGGATCAATTCTCACTTGAGATTGATCACCACATTGCTGAATCCTGTAGTACAAACTACAGAAAAAAGTAACATTATACAGGTGCAGATGCAAGGAATGTGTTATGCACAGCACAATTATTCATTGATTTATTCCATTAACCTCTAAAGTGCTGACATCCAGTTTGCTGGACTACAGTGTCTCATGCTCACTGTGCTGCTATTGAGCCTACTGGGTTTGAGTTTTCCATTCTCTACTGGGGCTGTCCATTATATTAAATTATTTTGAAATGATGTGGGGCTGAGGTGGATACAATTCTAGACTCTTCCTGCTACCCATTTTCCACATTAGATGACCTTGAATATTCAAATAACATAGAAATATTTGAATGACTGACGTACCCATGGTAAGGAAAAAACTCAGCATTGGTGGTGCATATGCCTGGACAAAACTCAGCGCTTTAAGGGTTTAAAAAGTTGCCATGGCATGCAAAAATTCATGTTCTTTTAACTCTAAATAAATGCATTTCATATTGCAGATGGTTTGTGGTTCCCATATTTTCAGATATTTGATAACAATTTAAGTTTGCAGAATTGTAAATGCAAATATATTATTTTTTGACAATTACAGAACATACACCTCGTGTAGCCTGTCATATCATAGAATTTTCAGAACTATTTTTGGCTAAGGAAAGCTCCTTAACCAAAAACAGTTTTGTCACTTGGCTTTCGTGGAGGTCATTCCATGGGGAGTATCATTCATGTACTCTAAAAAGTATGACTTCATTAGAAATATGCAGTTCACATTAAATAAGGCAAATTACATCTCTGTAATTTGTCTTATTTGTCTGAACATGATTACAGGGTGATGGCCATAATGGAAGCAATTTGTTAATTGGCATATTATATTTATAATCATGGAATGGCTGCTATCCTGTCAGAATAAGATGGCACAGTTAGGTGCCTCATTCATAACATCTGTATTTGCAGGGAGATTAAACATGATAGTATTGTTTTTTGCAGTAGTTTTTAATATCTGGGAGTGGCTCCAGTTTGACCTGTTTTGCTTGAAAATGTTTCAGTCCAAGCCTTGACCTTGGAAATGGGACACACTCTACTACAGCCCTGCTTTCACCTACACCCATGCGTGTTTCCTCTGTTCCGGCAAAGAGAAGCTCCTGTGGAAAACCTATACAATCTGGTATGTCATGATATGATAGAGGGGATCAATGAAGGTGTGCTCTCATCATGGAAGTAATTGGCATAAAATAGAGATGCAGGGATATTTAAATTTCTTGAACTGAAGAGTTAGGGTACCAGTAGTGAAACCCTTCATACCACTCAAGAAGTCATCTTTTGGTCCCCAGTGGTTCTACATTCAATGTGAGTGGAGGAGTAGTGAGGTGCAGAGTACTGAGTGGATTTACCTGGAAGCTGTAATGTTGTCAATAATGGACATATGGTAGAATATATCTGAGATTTTAGTACATACTGTCACTCTGAACACGGGCAAAATTTGGTCCAAGTCCAATTTGATAATATTATTGTACATCTGGTATTTTAAAAATGAAAAAATTTAGCAGGTCACCGGAGGCAGGCATCAGACACGTCAAGTGTGAATTCTGAACCCCAATTTGGTGATATGGAACGCTTACGAAGAAAAGCGCAGGAGTTGGAAGTGAAGGAAGCAAAATGGAAGAGTCTTCATAGCCAGTGGAAGAGGTCTGTCTGCATTAGTTTATCCTTTGAGAATATTATGAATGCATGAGAATGCAAGACTCACTGAGGCATCTGCTGCTTTTCTCAGTGACATGGAAGAGATGCAAAGTAAGAGAGATGAGACCGAGAGGCTCCTCGAGCAAGCCGTCCTTGAAAAGAAGCATATCATGGAGACATACCAAGTAAGTATGCTTTGTCACAAAAAATGTTACATGTAGTCGTGACGTGCTTGCTTTGATTTCCTTTATTTCCTGTGCAGGAGACCCAGAAGAATGTACAAAATCTGAGGGCAAAGTTATCGGAGAAGGAGACTGTGGTAACCCAGCTGCGTGCCGATACCGACAAGCTGAGCAAGGAGCAGCAGAACCTGTCTGGTGTGATCAAGAAGCTTCGCTTGAAAGAAAAGCAGACTGACGGGCTGCTGACGGCCGAGAAGGAGAAGACGGCCAGACTGAAGTCAGACATGGAGGATCTACAGGCCCGACTCAAAGCCAAGGAAGAGGGAGAGTCGGAACATGTCGATGTCCTGCGGCATCTTTCGGGCTCGGTCCAGCGTCTCGAGAAAGAACTTGCCGAGCGGGAGAGTGAACTTGAATATGCCAAAGACAGGGCTGAAAGCCTCAACCATGCTCTGGAGCAGGCATACAAGGAGAACAGTGACCTGAGACGGGAGATGAGCAAGAAGGATGCCGAGGTCATGCAGGCATCTTATAGTTCCGAAGCAAGATGGCAGCAGTCTCTAGAGGAAGAAAAGAAGAAGGAAATGATGGAGAAGGAAGCACTGAAGACTCAAATCGAGGAACTGAGGAGGAATCTTCAATTGACGCAAGAGGAAGCCCAGCTGTGAGTTCACTCATCTCTTCATATATATATCAGGATTCCCTAAAGTCTCATTTTAGACATGCTGTTGGAATAAATGGTTATTGGTGTCCTGGTAACTGTGTGTGGAAAATTTTTGCAGTGATTCTTTTAGTTGCTAAAAAAAATTATATTATTTATGTAGCAAGTCTATAGGGACTAGAGAAAACAATAGTAATTTTTCACTTCTGCAGATGTATCATATCACCAATGCAAGATTCAGCATTCATTTTTGAAAAATTAAGCGAAAATTGACAGAGGAAATTGAAGAAAGGTATGCATGATGTGGGACTGGTTCTTTAAGTACCTTTACTCAATTCTTTATTATCTGCTGATTTGCTCCTCTCCACACAACTAATAAGATAAACAACAATTTATTTCAGTGTATCTAAGCCATATTGAGTCAAGTTTAGTTTCATATAGGGTGTGTTCATTATTTGATGATATTATTTCCCTTTCTACTCCAAATTCTGAGATACCCTACATAGATTCCCAATTGCATAACACAATTTCAGTGAAATACCATCATAATGAATTTTGCTTAGAATCGAGTCTCCTGGAGCAGAATGGTTTTGTGTCCCAGCTGTATTCCATGTGTATTTAAAAAATTCTCATTTACATTGAACTCCCTCTGAGAATTGTTTTATTTTATATAGTTACAATGTATTTGATTGCAGTTGCATTTCATTTTTAAGTGTCACTGCATTTATTTCATTTTTAGACGAGAGGAGAGCTGGAGGAAAGAAGTGCATGACCTGAATCTCAGGTTAGAAGAGTCTGAATCAAGGGTTCAGATTCTGACACAGGATCTTGGCGCTGCTACTCGGCCCTTATTGAAGCAGATCGAGACCCTTCAGACCCAGCTCAGCTCCAGTACAGCTGGCTGGGATCAGATTGAAAAGTCCCTCCAGGATGATCTCAGTAGCTTGATTTTTTCATTTTCTAGCAAAGTGTGGATCTGGTTCGCTCTGTCTGATTTTTGTATCTTGATATTCTGTAGAAGAAAGTCAGCATCGAATGCAGATGGCATTGGAAAAGCAACGCTCTTCTGATCAGCGTTACATGGAAATCTCAGCGCAGCTATCTCAGTTGGAGCTTCAGGTTCGAATGGAGGAAACTGAGAAGCAGAAACTTGGTGCCCAGGTCAAGTCTCTTTCCCAACAGCTAGAATTTTTCAAAAGCAAGCATGAGAAGTGAGTTTGCCAATTATTAATGAACTAAAGTTGCATTTTTTTTCATTGTTAGTTACTGTAATATATTTGTATTCTATATTTTTGCATTTTTAAATTATTGTTTGATCCTAAATATTTTGATTTGTACTACAGAATAGAGTAGGTTTCAGTGATGTTCTAGACAGGGATTATTTTTGTTATGGTCTATCATTGGGACATAAGTCAACAAGTATGATGGAATTTAGCCCCATGTTGCAATGCTTCACATGATGAACTTGATCTCACATTCCTGGTGCAAAGTTTTTCCTAAATTGTGGATAGATTCCAACTCTCTTGAAACAAAACCTCTTGATGCTCAAAATTCACCATTCAAGGTTGTCTTTTTATTCCTGCATTAAGGCATTTTATGTGACTCTTATCTGTAAGCATAGGGGTAGAGGGGTAGACCTTCGCAAGTGAAGTTATTCAAAGTAAGAGCCATTTGTACACCATGGATGCATTTGCAGTGGGAGATTCAGATTAAAGTTCTTCCTCTTTGCCTTTGAAAATGTCTTGATTTTTGAATGGCTTGATATTCATCCCAGCTCCAGACTTAGACCTGTGTGTGTGTGTGTGTATGTGTTATAAATCTGGAATTCATGAAGGACAGTTTTATAGCAAGTTTACCAATAAAGTATGGCTAAAGAGCATATGTAATAACTCTACAACTCTTCTGATAATTTTTTAATCAAAGTAGTGTATAATATGGTAATCTAAGCCTCATTTGTATGGTGCTTACAGGGAGAAAGAGGAATGGGAAGATTCTAGGGAAAAGCTGTCAGAAGAATTGGCTGGATTGTCTTCAGCTAACAGAACACTTGAACACTTGCTGCAGGTGGAAAGAGCTGCCCTGGAGGCAGAGAAGAGACGCTCATCATCATTGTTGAGAACTCAGGTAAGTTTTGGGATTTTCTGTGCTCACATCATTCCTCTTGCTCCTGAGTTAGAATCAGATAGCATCTTCATGGTGCTATTTGAGATAATGTGTAATAGTCACAGCTGAAACAGGTGAAGATGAAAGGCTCTGATATATATTTTATGCCTTCTACTCCCTGCAGCAAAATGAAATTAGTTGGGGCTGTAGAGCTATTGCCATTCAAGTTTTTGATGTGCTGCTAAGATGAAGTGAGGCATTTAAGTGATTTTGATTTTGCATTTTCTCTGAGTGATTGCCATTATTTTCATGGATGTGTAAACTAACCTCTTGTGCTGTGGATGATGAATGTGCAATCCCATTTCTGTGCGGAGAGGCTTGTCTATGGCAGCTGTTCCAGATTTTCCTTGTTCATAGTAATGCACCTACACAGTGTGTTGTGGTCAGGGCATCTGGGATTTCATAGGTTGCCTGAACCAAGTGTCATGACATCTTGCCTGGTCAGGCCTAAGCACAACATCCTGCATCAGTTTTGCTGTTACTTTGGACATGGGTAACTGATGAAGGCTGCTGCAAAAACCTCCTATGAATAAATGAAGTTGTGCTATTATCCCTACAAGCCACATGCTGTGAATGCTCTGATAAGAGTGGTTTGAGGGAACATGCAGCTTTCAGGATGACAAGACCTGGACAGCTAGTCCCATCTCTACCAAACAAACCCCAAGCTGTCAGGCACTGTTGTGCTAAAGATGAGGCAATTATATTTAGCCTTTCTGCAGTTGTTGAAATTCAAGTTTTTATTTTTTATTTTTAACAAACCTGTATATGCACAGGGATATTATATATATTAAGTATTCCTCTGCAGAGCATCATTGGACTTCAACTATGAGGTGTAAGATGGTGCCACTGCACAGGCATAGCAAATGATGCAAGAGAAATTAATTGCATCTTGTACCCTGTTAATCACCTTGAAAATTTAATGTTTGTGGAATCTGATCATTTGCATCATCTTTACCACAAGTTTTTGAAACTCCTCTACTTCCAATGATATAGACCATTCAAGCATATAATTCATGTGATGATTGCTTGGAATGAAGTGCAAAAGAATCTTCTCCCATGATTGCCCAAAGCTCTGACTTGAATCAAGTTGAGCATGGAATAGGTTTAGCTTGGCAACAAAGCAGGATGAATTATGCAGCATGAGGCACATGATCTTTATGCCCCCAAAACCTGGTGCAAATGTATATAGCCATACACAAAGCAATAGAAGGTAAAACCTATTTTATCTATCAAACTCTGTTGTCAGGCATGTCAAGGAGGGTACCTGCAGCCATTGAAGTGAAATGAAGGTTAACAGCATGTTGATGATCCCCCTGTTTAGCTGGATGGTAGTTGTACATGATCTCCCTAAACTTGTTTTGGATGTAGTTATATACATGGTAAAGTCTGAAAGGTTAATAGATGTCTGTATGCCCTGAGACTCATTATAACTTTCTAATTTGAGTCTATAATAGACTCAGTTTTCAAGGGATATCAAAATCATTACATCTTCATGAACTCACAGTAGATTGAATCAAGTCTACTAAGAGATCTATGAGTAAATGTTTTCCCTACATGAATGAGGCTCACAAGTTCCACATAAAAATGAACTCATTCCATCAAAAAGAATGTTCACATGACTACATCACTTCAATTGTTTCATTGGTCTTCAGGAAGGGATGAAGGAGGACACAGGGAATCAGCCACCTAGTCCAACGGAAACTCTGCGATCTTCACCCACTCCCTCATTAGCGAGGCTGAGTTCTATCTGTTCATCAGACCATCCCTGGCCTTCATCAGTTGTGAGCTATCAATTTGTTACTTGGGCTGTATCAACATAGTTCAGTCTGGCTCATATACCCAAAAAAAAAAGTTTTCAGCTTCACATTGCTGCAGACAGAACATCATACAAGGTATTGGCAGATTGTTTACATGACCTTGAACCCAATGTAATTAGATGGCTTCATAAATGGAATTAGTATTCCTAAACCAAGTAACAGCTTGCAACAAGTAACATGTGAATGCTAAATGTACTTATATGTCAAATATGATGTCAGCATGCAAAATACAGGTGCTTCCTCCATGCGTGATCAGTGATTAGCCCTAGCCCAGTCCAGCTGAGCAGACAGTTGCAGTTACTCATTAGACTTTTTGTGGAAGGAGAGAATGTGTTTTTTTTTTCAGTGAAAATTTTGACAACTAATTTCATTAAAATTTTAATGAAACTCCTTGAGAGCAGTGCCCTGCAAGCATCTTGTTATAACCTTGTGTGGTGTTCTGTCAGTCTCCAGGTAAAGTTGGGAACCTTTCTGAAGCTATCCAGGGGTTTTTGCAAGGAGGTACGTGTAACTTCTTTCAGGCTTTCCATGTATGTTACCTTTTGATGCAGTCACTTTGGCAGAGAGAGGCTTAATTGTAGACAGAAGTGTGGAATATGCAAAATGGATGCAAGAACCCTGTGTTTTGACATGATATGTGTAAATTCTGGGCCATAAGCCTATGTTTTCATTTAACCCTTATCCGGGCAAGGGGAGTCCACTGGACTCCCCAGGGTATATTTCATTTCATTACTCTCTGCAAACTTTTCAAAATAAACTTTTAAAGTTTGGATTTGCTTTTAAGGAAAAAAATTCTAAAAATGTTTGGCCTTGCCCGTTTGTGTCACAAAAATACCTTGCCCAGATAAGGGTTAAATTGGGAAAGAGATGGGAACTCCAGTGGAATGCATGTCAGCATTTGCTTAAATTTTGGTTGCATTTGCAAGGAGTGATTTCTGCATTAGCCTACTTAATATGTAGATATGTTTTACATGGGGAGGTCAGACACTATGTAGGCACCTGATGCCTTCCTAGAATAAGACTTATCATGTGCCCTTGATATGGAAAGAAGTATCAGCATATACTTTAATTCTCAGCTCATATCCTAAATTGTAAATGCCCTTTTTTCAATTAAAGATTTCCTTGCCTGGAACTCTCTGAATGAAACACTTTATCTTCCTGCATATTAATCCACTCATAGTGAGGGAGTTTTGCTCTAAGAATCTTGTGGTACCCTGCAGAATAAAGGGATGATGGTATTTACTAGAATACTTCGATATTTTGTTGATACAGATCATTACATAGTGTGTTTCTGACACAAATGACTTGCAGGTTGAGGATTTTGATGTGATCCATGGGTCATCAACAATGTGGGAGATGTTGCAGGCCCAGCTCAAACTCAAGGATGGTGAGTGAAGGAATGCACATTTTTTATTTATCAAAATAGTATCATCTATTCATTCCCATCCAGGTTTAATGCATTTTACTCAAGTAGAATGGAAAAGAACACCAGATAGTAACTCAGTATAAATCAGAAATTTTGGAGTTCAAGCTATTAAATCTCCTGCAACTTGTACTCCAATAATGTCTCCATATCATCTTGAGCTTTAGTGATGTGATGTTAGTGATAGTGGTTTCATTGCTGACATGCATAAACATGTCCTTTGACTTGAAACTTGGATCTTCCTCCAATTACTAACTCATGATGAGTACAGAATGAGGAAGCTGAAAGATAAGGCAAGCATGTCAAAGAGTCAAATCCTGTACCAAACAAGACGAAGAAACTGGTTTTTTGATTTTTTTTTTCTGTTTCTGATTCTGCTGGTGAAAACTTGACTTTGCATCATAATGAAATTGACTGTAGAAAGTCAGAAGCAGAACCTAATGTAATAAGGTAAAGCTTCAAATAAGGACCAGTTGCAACTCTTAATTACCGCCTTGTACATCCACAAGCATCTGTTTAAAGTGGCTTCTCCGTGTGCTTCTTTCAGCATCCTGCCCAAAACCACAAGTCTGTGAAAATTATATAAGGGGCATATGTTTTTTTGTTCCTTATGATGCCCTTCTCATAGTGAGGGTGAGGAATCTCTTGTACTTCCCCAACATGCTATAGGAGAACTGCAAGAATTGGAACGAGCGAGGCGTGCCTACGAGGGGATGCGGGACGCAATGTCTCAGGAGATAGTGGGACTGTCTAGTGAGAACGAAGCACTCAAGATGGATCGTGAAAGGCTCCAGCATCTCACCACTCTCTATCAGGACATCCAGGAGAAATATAATGCCTTACTTCAGGTATTCCTTGTTTTCTTTGCCTTTCCCTGGATATAAGTTCCCTTCAATTCATTTTCACGCACTGGATTATAGATGTATGGCGAAAAAGTAGAAGAGAACGAGGAACTTCGGCTCGACCTCCAAGATGTCAAAGAGATGTATAAATCACAGGTGAGCAGCATTACTATGTAATGACATTTTCCTTATTCAGTTTTTATATTCTGATTTTTTCTTGTCTTTTTCTGTGCAGATAGAACAATTGGTGAATGGGAAGGGTGCAAAGAAATAGGGGTTCCACTCTCTTGTTGACTCATGCACACACTTGTTCTATCCATGGCCTTTACCTATTCCTCTATTGATATGAATTTTCCATTTCTTTTTTTTATATAAAACTAGGGAGGAGGATTTTCCTAGTTGGGTAGAGGGGGGGAGTCACAAATCATCTGTGATAGCATTATGTTTAATATATTGAGGATTATTGAGGATCAATAAAGGATATTCTCATACCAAGGATGGTTCCTGAGGGATGTTATTCTGCTTTCCAGTGAAGCTGTCTCAGAATCAGTGCCACAATGGAACTCATTGAAATTGACCATTTGCTGAGCTGACCACTTAGAGAGCTGTAAAGAATATGCTTTGATGGAATGTGCCTTAACCCTTAGAATCCCATGGTGCTGACATATCATCTCTTCATGATGTGATACAACTCTGCTCAGGAGTGAAAGGGTGAAGCAGTGGGTGCTGAGAGTATATAAAAGCCTTTATACAATACCTTTTAAGGAGAAGTGCATGTCATGCATTTTTTTTTTTTTTAGCTCAATAACCTCAGCTGGAGAATGTGGTGATTTGCAGCCCTCCCAGATAATACAAATTCTGGAAAATGGCTAGAATGAATTGTGTCATGATGAACTATATGCAGTTGATAGGTTTAGCATAAAATATTCCAGATGAAACCTGAGATGTCAGGTTTGGGACATTTTTGAATTCTAAAGAATTCAGTGAGAATTCAGTGAAGTAGTTTGAAGTAGTGGTATACCAGGAAAAGATACATGAATGATTTTTCAGACTGATTTCTTTTTTCAAGTTTACAATACTTGAATTGTTTAACTTCAGATTCTTAAGGCATTAGTAAAACTTGAGAGAAACACAGGCAGCAACTGCACAACCTTTTCATGCAGAATTCCACCTGGATAAGATCCAGGTGGATTATTGCTGCCAATGGTATATGCATGAAATAGATCACTCTTGATGGATTAAAGACCAATAAATGGAAGGTTCATGTTAAGAAATCATTCAAAATATTAAATGCAAAAAGGACAGCATGTGAGCAGCAGAAGCCATCATCAATATGGCTACAGATTGTCAACAGATCATCAGCCTCTATTAACCTGTCAGGCATGTACATTTCTGAGCAAGGTGGAATCCATGATGAATACTAATGAATTACAGCAATAATTTCAGAACTTTGTTCTATGTAAAAAAAAAACTGAGCATGAGCTCCTTTATACAAACCTAATATGTAAATACCCGTATATCCTGCAGAACATGATACATAGCAACTTAAAAAAAAAAGACATGATGTATTGGGAACATTGGTCATGACTGATGGCAAGATACATCATACTCACCTGACGGATTAATAGAACTCTGAATCCCAATTCAGAAAGTAAGTGAAGGCTCCTAAAGCTTCCCTTATTTCTGCTACACTGAGCTCAGTATAATGTCTATTTTTTATGATCATATATCCAAGCTCTTGGGAACTTCCTGCAAGTGTAGTAAAAAAAAAGTTACAAAAATTCTACCTGAACAAATACAGCAAAAAATCCAAATCAGCCCTCCAGAATGCAACTGAACTTTCAGGGCTGAACATTTTCCATCATGTTACAGTTCAGAGGCATTCTAAGAGCACCAATGCTTTTGATATTGAAACATGGTCAGCCCACCTAGTTATAACCTGGATTTTTTCATGAGAGCAAATAAACACTTCAGATATGGTTTCCTGATATATTTTCCCTGTGAATTTTGTCTTAGTCCTGGCATCACCATTATTCATGGTCCAGACAGTTCCCCATGACTTCTGATTTTTTTTTAGAATCTCACATAACTTCTTAACACATCATCCAAAGGAGGAATGAAGTTGGGATTGAGCTGCCTCAGATATATTTGTTTGACCCATTTGAGACTGTCTCACTCTGTAGACTGTGAACTAGAAATGTGCAAGATTTTTCCATGATTCCTATAGCCATGTATATACTAAACTATAAGAAATACACCCACTGTTGTTGCCAAAAGAGGTTGAACAAATCCTAACATCCCAAAATTCCATTATCTCCTCTCATTAGTCACGACATCCATCTGCTTCACATCAGGCACGAGTAGGTGCAATATGAGTCATGGATAAGCAAGAACATAGTCATGTGAATGGGTGAGGCAGCTGAAAGAGGATCACACTCTCCATGGAGATGTATTTGGTGAACTTATGCTTTGACAGGGACCCCACAAACTTCAAAATTAACAGAAAGAAACAGGAATATATTGCCAGCAACATTCTCCACCCTCCAAAGATCTATGCTTCCAGGCTCTTCAAACAAATTCTGTGAAGTCAACAGCAGCAGGAAGACAGGAGGTGGAAGCCACCAAGGCAGATCCTTCAATCTTGCCTCGAAGTCTCTGAAGGGATCGAAGCCTCTCCAACCAATTCGATGCATATGGTCCTTTCCCATGACCACTTTCTATGCTCTGAAGCACCATTGCCCCAAGCTACAACAAGTCACAGATCACATCATTGTGTGTATAAGATGGAAAGGTTATCTCAAACCTTTCTGATGATTAGTCATAAAACCCCATTCCTCTCCTCTAAGTAACATGAAAAGATGCAAAGCAAATGGACCAAAGTAGAAGAGAGCTTGGCTGGATTATGATAAATAAATAATTTCATAAGCCCCTAAAATCCCTGAAAAAACAAAGCACTACAAGGTTTCTGTGGCTTTTAACCTAAAAAAATTATTTGAGAAAGAATATGTTGAATGACAGATGGTACCAAGAACTATAGGAAACATCAAACTATAGGAAAAATAGTCATGTGAATGTGGGTATTGCAAAACAAACTACTGTGAGCAGATTTATTCCTGGCTTATTTCAGACTTACAACAGGCTTTCTATAATGTATAACAGCTGCTGTATAACAGTACAGAGAAGCTAAAACTTGAGATATCAGCATAACTAGTTGCTTGAGGAAAGAATAGAAGCCAGAACTTACATTGACATGCAGAGCCATCTGTCGGACCAGTGTCGAGAGACTGGCATTGGAGATGGCCTTTGGTTCAGAATGAACCAACAACTGCTGCAGTTCGGGCTTGGCACGGACTCGAACCACATTTGTCTCGTGGGCCAGAGGCTCAATCTCCACACAAGCAAATATGAACTGACCCTAGGGAAAAAATAAAAGATGCAGAAGCTGGCATGTGGCTGGAGAGATTTGCAACTGAGCAATAATCACTACATCTGCTTCCATAAGACACATTGTGTAATCTGAAGAGAAGCACCAAATGATTTCAAAAGATGTTGGTTGACAACATTTCACAGAGCAATGAAGAACCTATGTTGCTTGGGTACCTCTCCTAATCCAACACACTGACCACAAGCAAACCTAGGATGGTTCTTAAAAAGCAGCTGAGAAAATAACCAACATTTGAACATTTTAGATTGGGTTTTTTTTAAAAAAAACCCCATCCTCATGGAAATAGTAACACAAAATCCTGTGCTCAACCATGGCCCACTTTCTTCAAAAGATGTTCTCCTAGGGGCGCCTCACAGAGACTGGGCTATTCTGGCGATATTCTGCCTAAGGAAAACCTGGCCAACTTGAACATGCTCCTGGACTACTGTAAGAAATACACCATTTGGATTTTCTGATGAAGAGTCAGATTTCATCTACGGAGGGGGACTAATAGAGCACCTTGCTCTATAACAGTGCCCAAGTAGCATAACGTATTGGGACACAGGATGCAGGAATATTATCATATTATCATTTAACCTCAGCTTGGTCAAGTTCAACAGAAATTAATGGATGGTAACTTTCAAAGTTTCTGCAATTCACAAGAAAATAGCAGATACACCACCATGGTCAATGCCAGGAAAATTTTGAACCTATCTGCTCCTATTTACAGATTTTGCTTTAGTATGCAGTTTGTCATGGCATTGAGTACTTAGACATATGCATTGCTGGAAACAGCTAGCTATGCACAAATTATATCTGAAGCCTTGTGAATGTCATTTGTAATTCATTGCTTTGGGATTTTCATTGGACAGTGCTTCCAACTGACACTTGAGAGACTGCTGCTAAGTCAAAGCAAGGTATTATGGAAACTCCATCTACTGACTTCAGGTGGATAGACACAAAAAAGTATATCTAACATTTAATGAAATCACATCACAATTTATAAAATGACCAGAGATAGTACCTTGATGGTGGACATGTTGTATGGGAGCCCACTCTCATTGTAGACAATCAGCACATGATCATTGCCGATATGCAACTTCTTCCCATTGCCCTCGAGATCCGACTCCCTGTAGATCATGAAGATAAAGAATCCTTGTTAAATGGAAAGGGAAATTCAAGAGCTTTGACTTGGGAACTGTCTCACCTGGTTGGCATGAGAGTGGCAACATGAAATATGACTTGCATCACTTCATCCTTCCATGTGATCCCATACTTTCCGTCACTCCCATTGGTCTCCAACCCACCGAGGAAAGTCTGCTGCTTGTTGACCTGAGTGAGGTCGATCACATCCCCAAGTCCTTCCAGGAACTCCACGTACCGCACAGAGCCATGAGGATTACCAAGGATCTGGGCCTCCTTGTCGGCCTGGCCGGGGCCGACGTACACGACGCCGATCTTGTACGTCTCGTAAGGGGTGATGCGGTCGAGGACGTTGAGGGACCGCTCCATCATCGGGGTCTTGGGGAGGGGCAAGGGCCGGCATGCATCAGTCCCAAAGTGTCCTCCATAATAGAGCTGAAGGAAGAGGAAGCGAGGTGTCAAGGCTGAAGCTGCATTGTCTCTCTTCTGTGTTGACAAGGCTTGTGGCAGTCCTCCAACAGTTGCACTACGGTCTCGATGCCCACTTGCTCCCTCCTGAAAGAAATATATATATATATATTACATCACTGGTATTTGTGGGAATCTGCATATTTCCAATTAGCTTTGTTGTGATACAGAAATGAAATGACATGCTGATGTTGACTGGAATTTTTTTATTATACTGAAAGTAATATTCACTTAATAGAAAATGAAACTCTCATTTACCTGCAATGTTATCAACAACACTTTTCACAGTAAACTTTTCCTTGATGAAGAATCTTCTTCATCAAAGTAAGTTGTGCTGTCAATTATGCATTTGCTAGAAGTATAAAAAAATAAAAAGTGAGAAGAATGTCAAGCTATCTGCTCTTTTGCATACCAATGCATACCAGAGATCTATTAACAGTATTGAAAAAAATAGTAATGAATATAAAATTTGAATAACCTCAATATTTTTTCCCTCCCGTTTTGACTGCACTTTTCATTTTTTAAATTAGTTCTGAACGCATTTATCAAAACTAGAGCTGTTATCTTGAGCACCAAATACAATAAAAAGCTTCTGTAATATCCCATACCATCAAGTGGAACTTGGAATAGCAGGAAAACTTGGAACAAATTTTGACAGTAAAATTGGTCATGCCATGGGTCTAACTCTTTGCCTGGGATTCTGATGGAATTAGCCCAAAAAAATAGAAATGAAGCTCTGACTGAACCAGACAAGCACTCACCAGGATCGGCCGTGGAGCGATACTCTCAGGACTTTTATTCCTGTTCCAAGAAAGAAAGGAATGAATGAAAACTTATTTGTTGGCCTCAGGAAAAGGAAAAACAAAGGAGAGGAACGCACCAATCGAGTCGCCTCACATGCAGGTGCTTGGGCTTCGAGCCTGGAGAGGACTGAACCCTCCTCACGGGTGAATGCGGCTCTCCACCGTTCCTATCGGATTCCATATCCATCTGTTCGTCTTCCTCCTCGCTGGACCTCTCCTAACGAGATGGGGGAGAAAACATGGATCGCATTTTGACAACACGAGAGGGAAAACGGTCGAACTACATCAGACTCACATGGTGGACATGTGTCTTGAGGAGCTGAATTCCCTCTTTCTTTGGGAACAAGGCCAGGAGATTATTTTCATAGCTGTTTTGAAGCCTCATTACCCAAGATGTCACACCTACAATTTTAAAACAAGTTCAATAAAATATCTATGGATGCAGTGAGATGCTAACCAGCACCCACCATTTTAAATATTGGTCGAATTTTACATCAATACAGGGTGTCCCAAAAGGTATGGAAGCACTGAAAAAATCAATATCTCTCCAAGTTATGCCTCAAATTAAATGGTAAAATGAAGTACAACTTAAACACTTTTCAGCCAGTTGAAAATGCAATTCCCCATGGGCACCATTTGTGATTCTATATATGTCTAAGTGATGTATGAGCTCTTGCCACACCTTATGCAGAGTGTCAGGCATAACTGTCTGGATAGCTGAGATGATTCTGTTCTTTTGATCTTGATCGATCGTCCACTTTTCTCCAGTAAGCAATGTTCCTGGCATAGCCCACAAGAAAAAGTCCTCTGGGGTTAGTTCAGGTCATCTTGGTGGCCATGGAATGGACCCACTTCATCCAATCCACAGATCTGGTGTTTTTTTGGGTGCATAGGTTTGCCAATATGTGGAGGTGCAACATCGGGGAATATTAGGCCTTTATTGTGCCTCTTCATATCGCTATATCATACTGCTATCTCCAAGATCCGAAGAAAAGAATTGTTGCAGCTATCCAGACAGTCACTCATGACACTCTGCATAAGTTGTGGTAAGAGCTCAAACATTGTTTGGATGTCTACAGAGCCATGAATAGTGCCTGTTTGGAATTGCAATAACAGGTTTTAAAATGTTAGAGTTGCACTTCATTTTACTGTTTTAATCATTTTACTTGAGGCATAAGTTAGAGAAATATTAATTTTTAAAATACTTCCATACCTTTTAGGACATCCAGTATTTACAATCAATGTGGGGTCCATATGGTTCATGTTCAGTCATATGTAGCTGGAAGCATATACGGGTGTGCACTGTGCACTAACAGCAGGGTGAGTGGACTTGGTGTTCTTGTTTAAGAATGATTTGTTTAAACAAAGAATGACAACATCCATGCATTGTTTGTTATTCTTTATCAATGGCAAAAAACAAAATAAAATAAATGTTGATATGTAAGACTGAACCATTCTTTCCATAACCAAACTTCAATTCACGGAAAATATTTTTATTAAATCGATTTCTACAATCAGTAAGGTAACATTGAATTTCTGGCTTCTGGCTTTCAAAGAGCTCATATGCTTCAATATCAAGGTCAAGAACATTCCATCATCACATAAGGAAAGATTGTCTCTGCATGATCGAACTTATATAACAAATTATGGGGTGCAGCTGGACACCACAATGGTAAGCGCAGGTAAAAGGAGATGGACTGACAAATCAGGACAAGGCTTGGGGCTGGATACCAGGACAGGGGCACAGGTGGCAGGGAGGATGGAGCAGGCTGTATGCTCGAGGTGGGCACAGTTGGATCTGGTGGAAGTGGGTACAGATCTGGTCAAGGCCCCCCAATAACTTGCAATGTGAGGATATCATGCTATCTGGTATTCCAGTTTCTATTCTCTTTGGATGCAAATAGTGTGAAGCAGCAAATAAATTAATCTTGGTACATCATAACAATATTAAGGATTCCCTATAGTAAGTAGTCTAGCCTCATCTCTCACATGAATTTTTATTATGATTGTATTCAAAATGTTCCCAGAGTTTTTCCTTCATTATTAGTTCCTCTTGGAACTAATCCAATTTTATGGTTGAAATAGCTTGCAGAAGAGGAAGCAGGGGTAACTTGTGCAGGTTTTCAGATCCATGTCTCATTACTTGTACTTTTCATGCTTTTTTAATACAAGGTCACTTTTGCACACTGAAGGGAAACTCAGGTCCAAGCAGTTTTCAGCAATGGATTTCTTGGTGAAAAAGGGTGAAGGCAAAAAAAAATACATTATTGAAAGGCTAAGAAAATGTTAATGGGGAAGAATTCTTGTATTGCAGAACAGTTTCTGGCTGGGCAAGTCATTTTCAGGATAGGAGGGACTCTCAGAGGATCACCAATTTGGAAGCACCTCAACAGCTTCCATGGCACACATTTTCCAATTGGTTGAAAACCTAATCTTGGATGATTGTTGATTGACACTGAAAGTTGTTTTTGAAGTTGCCAATACCTCTATTGAGCATGTTCAATGTATTTTCCACACTGTAGCACAATGAATGAACATGCATGATAAGCTTTTCAACTAATTGGAAAATTTAAGGGAGGGATGATTACATATATGAATAATCAATTTTTATTTATTTAAGATGTTAGAGGTCTAATTGTGTCAGAAAACCTGCAAGCAGACCAAGATACTCCTTATTCTGAACTTTGTGAATAGAGACTTGGAATGGATATCCATTACCAGCTCTGAATTCCATTATCACAGTCATTACAGAAGCATACTTCTGGTTCAGAGCAAAATGCACCTTCAACCGGTCACATCCGACAGAAAAGGTGATGACATTATGCCACAGACCAGGAAAGATAGACCGCTCACCTGTGGGGCGTCGAATGACAATTTCAGCCCATCCCTGGCACCAGCAGGTGCAGCAGTTTCCCACTTTACCTGTGCTTTCTTCCAAGGAGGCCCTAAGAAATGGTGCATGGGATGGGGATGAGGAGAGTGCAAGATCATCTTTGACCTGCAGGAAAAAGACACAAAGAATGGATGAAGTCACCCAGAAGGCAAAAAATCATGATGGTTGGCAGACACTCACAGTGGGAATACTGCTTCTCTTGGAGGCACTGAAGTACTCTGATTGATGCCTCCTTCTCTTCCCTTCTCCATCCCTCCCATTCTCCTCTTCTGCAATGCATAACATGCCAACAGAGTCTTCCCTCAATCACAGTCACAGGGCTGTTGCAATCGTCCATTGAGCAAGTGTTCCTTGTACAATGTTTATCAGATTAGGGTCATCAGAAAATAATTTTACATTCATTGAGGAAAGTATGAGTTGTGCAGTCTTGCACAGGCAATTCACCTTTGATACTATTACTTTAAACTCTTGGGATTAAATTAACTAGATGCATAGTGAAGGTCAATAAGGCATATGGAAAATTTACCAAGAGGAAAAGAGGTAAGAGGAAGTTGGTTCTTGGAGCAAAGAATGTGGCACTTGTCACAGAGCTGGTTCCGCCAGGGTTTCCCTCTGCAGCTGCTCGTAGTGATGGTCACAAGCTGGTTTGTCAAGAGCCAAGTATCTGAGCAACCATTCTGAAGCAGAGCCTCCACAGCTGCAGACCTGTCATCACATGACTTTTCAACTAAGAGTCCTACAGGAGTGTAACAGTGTGAGTGAGGACGGCAGAGAACCTTTTGGGAATGGCCGAAGGAGAGGCAAACGTGTATCGAGCCATGAGATCAAGAGTGGTCTGAAGGAGCTCCTTGTGGAAGTGCAGCATCTTCTCGTCGACCTGGGGCCGACCCATGATCCCACCTTCCAGGGAGTGCTGCCCTGACAGGGGGCGTCCCTGATCGGGTTTGGACTTCCGGCTCGACACCTATGGACCGCATCATATGTGTAAAAAAATTGCAGGCCTAATAACTCTATTACGAGGCTGCTCAAACCTCTATAAAACCTGCAATCCTGCGATCCTGGATCGCGGGGATTTCCGATCCATCCGAGGTGCAGTAAGAGAAGGAAATACAAATACATTATATGCTATCCTAAAGCCTATTTTTTCAGTGAAATTTGATCTGGATCTGGCTTACCCTCTCATGTAAGCTGGAGCTTCGAGGCCGGTGAGGTCCCTCATCTTTGTCGGCATGTGCAAGAGGCTGTACCACTTTCTGAGGACTGCAGGGTGCCTGCTGGGTTGGGGCCTCAGCTGCAGGAGGCTTAACCTCACTGATGTTTGATTCCAATCCCTACAGGATCCCAGCTAATCATCATCACATTTTTACCCACATGCTACAGTAGCAAATTATACCAAAGAAGCTCACCTTCTTGATGTAGCGGACGAAGGTCTTCCGAGAAGGGAGCTGGCATTTCAAAAACCAAATGGCAGTCACATGATGAGCCAAAGAGACAGTATAAAGGCCAAACTTGAAGGGATTGGTATAGGGCAAAGCAATGGCAAAGATGGTCATGTACTGGTCTTCGACAAAGCTCTTGTACACGTGTGGCAGGCGTATCAAGGCTAAAGATGGAAGGAAAATTTGAAGTTTGCATTGAATGCAAACGAAAGATGAAATCTGATGAGGACAAGGATTCTAGTCAAGAGATGCACACTAACTTGAAAGAAACTCCAAGACAGGTATGGCAATGTGAATTGTAGCTGAAATCTTGGAGAGAGAGAGAAGAATCTGAGGCATGCACTTGTGCATTGTGTTTCCCATCTCGAGCGCACACAGCATGAGTGCTGAGATGCAGATCACGGCTGACTTGGAGGACAGCCCCGCCTGGAGGCACATCACCAGTCTTGTCTGAAGCTCAGGCTCCAGGAGGTGATGATAGGAGACCAGAGATGCAAGAGCAGGAAACACATGATTCTGGAAATCACTCTTGAAGAAGTTGGGAGGTGTGTCTTGGAGAGACTCTGGGAGGCGCATACTCTTGTCCAATATCTGAGTCAAGATATCCATGGAGAGAAGGGCCATAAAAATTTTACCAAAGGAAATCTGTGTCCTCAACTTATAATGAACTCTGGCAAATTATTTGGCAAATATTAAGCCGAAATTACAAATCGCAGTAGATATGTGTTTTGTTGATGCTCAAATCGACTAAAATCTTTCAATTCCATTAACCAAGCCTTTTTGACTTTCAATATGGGATATTGGGGTTGCTCATCTACCATCTGTCATCAGCCAATCAACAAGTGTCAAGATTCCCAAATTCCTGATTTGGCTTGGAGATCCCCATTTGGGAAGCAAGGAGACTCCTGGTCTAACCAGGAAAGTTGGTGACTCTAAGTGCAGTGAAAAGAAAAACCTTTTTGAAAATTGACCACAAGTCTACCAAAAGAAATGGGTCCTATTGAGAAGTCATACAATGGGGTGTTTCAAAGAGGTATTCGTAAAATTGTTTGAAAAATTCAGAGCTTCCATTCACAAATTAATTTGCAACTAGCGATATAAATCCAAACCACTAAATGAGCTCAACCAGAATCAAATCCATTTTTTAAGCTGAGTATGTGAACAAGACTTTGTAGTATTAACCTAAGTTAAGTTGCAAATAGTAAAAAATTATCATGTTCTGAAAATAATGACTCAAACCATGATTAGGATTCTTACATTTATTACTTCTCTGGTAAGGATATCCAGGCATAAAAAAGGATAAGAAATTGTAAGGAAACAGCACAAAATGTCTATATTCTACAAAATGGCATATGCACAATAATGTAACATGAAGTTTTAAGGAATTAATAATGGAGAGGCAGCATTGAAGTCTTTGCCTATATGTAATAGTTGTAGTATTTGCATAAAAATATATTCCCTGGAGATAAACATTAAACTCCATTCAATAAGACTATTGAACTCACCAGAGCACAGAGAGCATCAGCCAGATAGTGAATATCATTCCCATGCCGACTCAATGTCAGGGCCTTGTTCTGCATGACATCAGGTAAGGAATCCAACAAAAGCTTCAACACCTTCCAGTCTGTATCAAAATTGGAAGTCTTGTTTTAGTGACCAGGGCTTAAATTCAGCTATCACCAAGGATGAAATAATAAAATGGGGCCTTCTTATTTCAGAAAGGAAGCCCATTAATAATGAAATATACTATTGCTGATTCCATTGCAATAAAGCATAAGTTTCATCCTTAGAGAGGGCAGCAGCAAAAATGGCCATTTCAGATCATAAATCTCAATAACCATCACTCTTGCAAAAATTTATCAGACCTCTTAATTTTGGGCAAATGAGAGTCAACTGCATTCATCACCCAATGATTCCAAGATACAGAGATGAAAGGATATAGACAAGTTACATACTTTTCTCCTCTCGCAGAGCAAACACGATGGCTTGGCATGCCTGCGTGAGAGACAAGACGGTGGTGACGCATTGGGGATACGGAGTGGGGGCTGGTGACATTGGAGGGGCCTTCGAAGCAGGAACTTCTCCCGTCTTGTGATCCACGAGTAGGTACGGGCTGTACTTCAATTCAGAATCTTTATCATCATCCTTGTATCCCAGATGGTAGCTTCCATCAGCACGTACGCACATGAAGCATTCCAGGATCTGAACACAACATATATTTTTATGTTACTTCTTTCAGAGAGGGAGAGGGGAACTAGTAACAGGATAAGCATGAAGTCTCATACTTTAATTGTTTTTAACAATCAATTTGGGCTTCAATTATAACATTGTAATACTTCAGTGCTTTCACAGGTTCTATGAATACAGTCATTTTCTAGTGGAGGAAGAGAATATTTAGGTTTAATTACATAGGACCTAACTAAGTTAGCCCAGCATTCACAGTGACACTAGTTCCATGGATCTGAATCTTCCTTTTTCTGCCAACACATCCAATGGAATGAAGGAGTATAACTTTTTTTTTAGCAATAACTTTTATTATACATCCATGCAATGTCAGCACAGATATGTTAATATCCCTTCATTCAAGGGTTATTAAATGAGGGATAACTCCAAGTTTTAATTACTCAAGCAAAAATATGAACCTATGCTGCTTTAAAAGGAAATTTGAGTACACTGAACTAGTTCCTGATTCATAGAGAATAAGCCATAAGAAAAATTTTAAAAGTACTTCAGATGACATGGAGCATTTCTTCAAAATGAAAGTTTTGCTCAAGCCACAATCTCAGTAATTGCATGAGTAGGCAGGACTATTGAGAAGCTCACAATGTAACGGATAGTAGACGTGTTTCCAAAGACCACTGGCTTCTTGTAGTGGGCGATGAGGTGCGAGACAAGAAGTTTGTAGGCTCGAATGGCATGCGTGGAAGGCAGTGCATACATCTTGGACTTGAAGATCTTGGTCAGGCCCACGATTGCACTCTGGACGTCTCGAACCTCGTTTTCATGCACGATGTGCACCGTGTCGCCTGCCTTCTCTGACCTCATCTCGAAGGGGTGCTTGATCACCTGGAATGGAGCATCCCCATCAATAAGAGCAATCCTGAAGGACAAAAAAATGATGGATGCTTTCCTACCTGTTCCAGGATGTCAAGGATTTCAAAGCACTTCTTAGACTGACATGTTAAGGCCAGCTGAACCAAGAACTCAGTGGCCTGCTCCCTCACATCAATGTCTGGTTCCAATTCCAGATTCTCCAATGAAGGCAAAACAATCTTCTCCAGCAGTTCCTCCTCATATAAGGGACTAAAATGACAAGATAATCTGTTCTCATTCTGCAATATTTGATCAATCAACTCCATAATATTTAACCCTTTCTGTGCCATGGACAGTGATTGCCATCATGAGTTTATTTTATACCTGGGATACTTTGTACATACAATTATAAGCAAAATTCATTTCTTGGTAATTGGAAAAAAAAGGTATTCAATTTTCTTTACTAGTTCCAGAGGTATAAATATTTTACTGAAAGCATATGTAAAATCTACTGCATTGGAAATAGTTCTAACAGCAGCGAACTCATGCATTACAAAAAGCTTTGGCACAGAAAGGGTTAAAACACATTTTGCATGGAATGGAGGTAAGATTGATCAGGAAAAGGCATGGGCAAGAATGTGATATTTGGGACATTGTGGCTGGAATCAAGTTTTTTTTCCACTATAACAGATGAAGGCCTTTCATTTTGGTATGTACTCTAACAATTTATACTTTTTCCATCATTATTACAAGCCAGGAGTCTGATTGAGAGCCTAGACCAAAGAATGTCTGCAGATTGCCTGTTGATTGGGTCTTCTTTCTAGTACCTTTGGAGTATTCAAAAGATTGCGAAACAAAACTTTCTATAAGAAGTTCCATGGGCTGTTGGAATACAAAGTTGGAATAATGGAGAAAGTGGCCTCTATCAAGCAGTGGATAGAAAATAACTGGTGATGATGATAATTTAGGGCTACATCAATGATATTACAGTTCAACGAAGAAGTGATAAGCCCATGCCCACAAGTATCTCAGATAACATGACTCCTCCTTTACATATGAGGCACAAATGACACAAAGCACACCTGTTCATGCGGACAACATCTTTGAGGATGGAGAGCATGTGCAGACGAATAGCAGGCCGTGTTTCCTGCACGTAGTATTTGTCGACCATGGAGATGAGCTTTGGGAGCCAATCTATGGTGACCGGCTGGATGGTCCTCTTTCGATATTCCAATAAATGCAACACTGACTCCTCCTGCCAAGTATAGGCAATTTAATGTCCTCTTTCTATGTATATCTTTCATCAAATCATTGATGAAAGATATATCTTAGCAGCAAGGGAGGAATTTTTTTACTCACCCGTCTCTTGAGAGATGCCGACTCTATGAGGTCATAGAGTCGATCAGGAGACTCCCCAAACTTCCCTTGGCATTCGAGATCCTCAATGGTACAAATGAGCTTGTCTAGAGCGTCAGCCACCTCGTTCACATTCCGTGCCGCTGCACATCATAACACAAAACTGAAAAACGTTCATGATGGATGATGTATTGACATAAAAAAAAAGGGACTAACTGAGTTGAGCCAGTATCTTCTCAATTATGTCCAGAATGAGGCTCCATGCCACATGGTTTTGTTCCTTCCCATATTTCTTAATCAAGCGTGTGAGGGTCAGGGTGACCTCAAAATTCACCAGGGGATGATTTGCATTTAATGCCTGCAGGGAGGAAAGTAGCAATTGGTTTCACAGCAATTGAAGGGTGTGTATCCCCGTGCAAAATCTCACTATGTCTTTTTCAGTTTCTATTCAATTACTTTATGTTGACTCAGGACTGACAGTCCAGCAAGGGACTGTACATGCACATGCAGAGGAATGACAGTAAACCTCAAGGAATGAGGGAAGGACACCACTGGGCATGTGTTTCAATGCAGACACTTGCTGGGTTCCCCAAAGACTCATGCTGAGGAAGAAGATAGCCCCACGGAGAAGATAGATGTCGGCAAGATGGCTCGGAGACTGGAGCATGGCACACATGGTGTACACAGCACTATGGCCCATATTCGTCCCCAGCAATTTCCTCATCAACTGTGGAAGAGATAGAACTTGATATGCCGATACCATTCTGATGGAGCAGTAAATTTATTTTGCATATTTAGAAGCATACCAGAAAATAAAGGTCTCATCAGATCAAACATAACTGAATAAGAGAGAGTCCATTAAATACCTTCCAAGCACTGGCACAAAAATGTGGATTGTTGGCTAGTCGACAGAGAGTGGTGATGAAAGACGGGAGGGCTTCGCTTGGCAGGTAGGAATAGCAAAGGACAGCTTCCAAGACAAGGAGACTCGCTTCTCCCTCCTGAGTCTTGCTCATTCGACCACAGATCAAACACATGGAACTGCATGAAATGAATGCCTTGTGTCAAGATCCTCATTGAACTCACTCATGCAGGGATTCATATGACTGGCATGCAGGGATGCATTCTGCAGCCAGTTCACCTGGTATACATTATAGCTGCAGGCCTCAGCATACGATTACTGAAAGCTGTCAAGAGAATAACCAAATATCTCATCTTGAAAGAGAAGTGCAGAAATATGTACCAGCTGGGAGGGAAGCAGCAGTTTTGAAGGCAATATCTCCTGTGACCCAGATGCTCTAGAAACTCCATGAAAGGCCTTGTTCTTGTATCTATTCCCAATGTATAATCTTCCATTTTAAAATATGATGCAGACCGTTGCAGACAAACTGGGCAATCGATATCTAAAAACTTATATGAATCCCTGCATATAATCCTTTTGACAATGGAGCTTTGATAACTTTTGGAAAACTCACTTGACAAAGCCAGCAATTATCTCAGAATCAATATAAGCAGTGTTGAACTTGATCACATTACTGAGAAGCTCCAGGAAATCAGAGATACGGTCAGCAGCATGGTCTTGAATTTCAGGCAACAGGTGAAGGAAGAGAGATCCCACATTCTCCTCAAAGTATCGGAAGTCTTTCCCGTTCTCGGTCAAGACCTTCAAGAGCTCCAGCCTACACACAAGTCAGGGAAGATTGTGCATCTGGTGACAGGTAAAACAAAGGAAGATGGAAACAGATGAGAGACAAGTACCTGGGTTCCACATCCTCTGGGTCCATGTGAGTTGCAACCACAGAAAAAAATATGGCCCTCATTGGACCTGTCAGCCTCTCTGATTGACCAGAAACAAGAGAATGGAGCAATTCCCAGCAAGTGTGTCTGGCTTCCTGATTGTACTCCCCTGCTAATAGATCTTTCACTTCCTTCCAGATTGCCTCAATGCCATTCTGTCAAAATGAGAGAAACTGAATCATAAGTACTATTCTCCTCTTCAGGAGTACCTACTCATGTCATGAGTAGGTATTCAATTCAGGAATTCAAAGTGTCAAAGCTTGGAGGAAAGAATGAGCTTCGTACCTCCTCGATGCGACGCAACGCAACATTTTCACTCAACTCTCTGATGTTCTTGAGACGTTCCCCGAGAGGACGCTGGGAGGAAGCCGAAATGCTCTCCAAGACGTGTGGAGTGACATGAAATGTTTCTTGAAAGGGTCGGCTGAGGCCTCCTCCTTTGCTCAACTTGGAAAAAAATTGCTTGAGCCGATCCTGGAAGGATCGCTCCTTATCTTTCAAGCTCACTTTTGACATTTCACTCAAATCTCATCATGATTCACCCATCTAGAGGAAAAGTCATGTCAAAAAAGCAAATGAAATTGCTCTACTAAAACTTTCATTTAGACAATATCTGGTACTTGGAGGATCAAAAAAGAGATCTTACATGTTGCTGATTGATTATAATTGGTACCAGAATTTTTATTGATGCTGTGACAATGTCAATGTATTGTATTATAGTAAGTCATGACCATAGTATCATTCACAATAGTATTCATTCATTCACTCAATCACTCAGCATCATTGGATGCATCTACATTCATCCCTAACCAGGCAATTTCATTTTTATTGCAAGTACAACTTGCAAGAAAATGCAACAGATGGAGAATTTCATATCCACAGAGTATGCTCTGGGAGAAAGATAAATGGCCTTGAAAATAAGCAAGAAAATGAAAGAAATACATGCTTGGGTCTTATTGCAAATTCATAGCATGACTGCATCATAACTTCATCATCATTAGCATTACAGCATCATTAACTGCCATGACAATTCCAAAGTTTGTATAGCAGTTTTCCAACTATGAGGCAGAGATGCAATTTGCATGTGCTGAGTCAGGGAGTTAAACTCCAATAACTTCACATCATCTTTATGATGTAATACAGATCATTAGCATGCAACACTACTCATTATGTACCTGGAGGGAAAAGTTTAAATTGGGTTTATATTTCATCTCTTGAGTATACACCAAAATACATCCTGAAAAGTAAAACTACAAAAAAAGGAACAATTAGATATGCAGGAATTTTAATGTCATGCATTATATATTTTTTCAACTGGGACACTTTAACTGCAATATTTGAGAACGCTTCTCAGTTGAGTTTGTGCCTTAGTATTCCAATAAGGTACCAGATTAAAAAGTGAACTCATACAGTCAAAGCTGAGGCTACCTGTTCAGCATAACCTGTGATCTGGAGAAGCAAGTTCCCCTTCTTCAATCTTGCAATGTCAGTGCCAATTTTGAAGCAAACAATATTGAAAGTACAGAAGGCTATGCATCCAGACCAATCAGATATGCTTTGGCATTCATTTAAACACTGGCACATGGTTTAATTTTTGTCATCCTAAAAAATCTCTTTACAAGCTTTGAATCCACCAGCAACTGTTGAGCATGTATGGAATTACATATGTTCAGCATAGACAGATCTTGTCATTGGTCAAGCAATGTACCCTTCAAAAGTGAGGGGCAGATCTGAACAGGAGTGTGATTAAATTAATTTCATTTCTTTTCCCCTCTCATACAAGCTTTATTGGAAAATAGGGATCTCAAGGTGACTAGGAATGCATATCTGACTCACTTTTTACCATTTTCTTAAAACCAGCAATCACAGAGGTATAGGAATGATCGCACAAAAAGTGCACAGACCAATATCAAATCAAAGTTTTGGCATTTGTCGGCGAAGGAAGGCATTTGTCACGGGTGTCATCATGGGAAAGAGGATGTCATCCATGTTTGGCATGACTAGATGACGCTGGAAAACGAGAGTTAGTGAAATTATAAGAAAAATCTTTTCATCCTAGCCATTCTAAATTGAAACTGTCCTAGAGGTGGATATGAATTTCCTGGTCCATGAAGAATTGCAGACACTATATAATTAACCCCTCAGCATCCATGCCCAAGTTTCCTCAAGTTGGCCTAATACCTTCTGCTCACCCACACCTGAGTTATCTCATTTCAAATATTTCCATTCAAATATTCAAAATATTCAAATTCAAAACACTCCAAGTAGGATAGCAGCTGAATTACATATTTTTATATGCAGGATGGAAAATTTTCTGATTCAAAGTGCCAACATATTTAAAATACTTGGATGCCAAAGAGTTAAAGAGGCTGTGTTAGATTTTGAACACGAGATATATCCATCTATTTGACATGAGGATGTGCCAGCAATGAGTGCCAATAAATAATCGTAATGGGTCATCCATCAATAGTTAATTTTACCTGCACTCAGGGCTAGACAATATTAGAGAGTGACAGTATTGCTATACTTAACCCTTTGGAGTCCAAGTATTCTGAATGTGTCAGCACCATCATCCAAGTTTTTTCCATCCTTCATCATGAGGCCAACACAAGATAACTCAGCCATGGACCCCAAAAAGTTCATATGAAAATAGAAATACTTTGATACTGCTAATTGTATGGAAAGGAGGCACACAGAAAAGGAAAATCAGAAATTGAAGAAGCTAGTCAAGCCGGAATACCAGCCCTGAGATGTCAGTACTATGACTAAAATCTAGTTACTAGTAGCTTTCAAAATCCTTGCCTAGATACTGTAATATTTTGTATTCAATGATGTTACAGGAAAGCAATGCAGTAGACCCTTTATATCTTGCATATGCAAATATACATAGGACTAAAAAGAGCAAGAACTGGTGATTGTAACCAAAAGCAGTGCAACAAGCACATGGATTGGAGATTTTCCTTGTTAGTAGAAGGAAAAAGTGAGAGCAAAAATTTATGCATAACCAAATATACATAATTCAAAATTCCAGATCTTGAAAAGTTTATGCAAAAAATTGCAATTGAAACACTTATCCTGTATATGAATTATCAGAATTTTCAGAGAAAATGGAACAGGATGAGAGGCAGGGATTCACTATGCCTTACCTCAAGTTGCTCAACAAGTTTCTTCTCAATGAGCTCTACAATTTGGGTTATAGTCAGAATCCTTTCCCCAACCTTGGGGATGGCTGTGAGGACAACTTGCGGACGAGAGGCAAAGCCCCACCATAGACGGTCACAAGGTGGAAGTGGGACATTTACGTGAAGTGTTCCCAGAATCTTGTGAAGCTCCACTTGAAGGATCAGTGGGGTCTTGGCTAATTTATCCACACCCCACTGAACGTATTGAGACTTTTTCACCGAGTCCATGATGGGGAAGGCTCGGATCTTCTGGATCAGGCGATTCATGTGTCTGTCCGATTCATTGGGCAATTGTGGCCTGAGAAGATTAATTGCATGCAATCAATCAGTGCTACTACAAATAGATCAGATACTTAGGAATGCACCTTGTCAAACATTAGTCTGCTTGGAGGTTCTCCAGGGAAGAACTTGTTTTTCAGTTGTAAAACTAAAATTCATAAGTTTCTGAATGAACAGACTTTGCAACACCAGGTGTGATATGAAAAAGGCATATATTGGATATATGAGACAACCCTGAACCCCCATGCCTTGGAAAATATGTTCTAAGATCAATAAAATATGGAAATAAGCTCATTTTGACATCTTTGATTTTAACAGCTGACTTTTTTGGACAGTTTCCTTCAAATGGGAATGGACATGAGGCCCTTCAACAGAAATTTTATGGTTAGGATCTAGCAACCCTCACATGGAGGTATAAAAGTATGAAAATCTAATCAACTTTGGAGAAAAGGGAGAGAAGCAGTACATAAGATTTCAGAGAGTTTTTATTTTGGTTGTGACACAATTTGATTAGCTATAAACTAATATAATCTGTCTTCAGGATGTGCATGGGCTGAGTCTGAAACTTTTTGGGACCATATTTTGCAACTTCTTAGGATTGGAGAAGAAATACCATGTTACAAGGAAAAAAAAAGACATTTGGGTACTTCTCTCAAGCACCTCCAGTTGCAATTTTTTGTCAGAATAATTTAAAATAAAATAAAATAAAATGTATACTATATTTCAGAGTGTTTGTGTGTGCATCTGTCTGTCCTTTATGTATGGCCACACTTCTGATCCCAGTCTGACCAAACTTTGCATGGCTTCCACAATTGGCCCAGGGACAGTCATAGCCTAGGTGGCATTTCAAAATTCGGACCCCCCGGGGTACCTCATTTAGTGCAGATTTCACCAATTCACTAATACAGACCACCCCCAAGGAGTCAAAATTTTGGGGACTTGCTGGATTTGCCAAAGAGGCATTAAAACAATATTAAACCCTCAAATATGGGATGCATACAATATTCACCCATGCAATGCTAGGTACCTCTGCCAGTGAAAAAATAAAAAGGAGGGAATTTACCTTCCACTTGGACCTAACTGGAAATTCTAGATGACTTCTAGATAATCAAATGAACTATATTATATAATGAGCAAGCCACTTGACACAAACTCTGGTTGGCTTGACATTCATGTACATGAACTTTCACCATGCCAATTTTTCTGAATTAGTATCAATCAAGGTTCAGGTAGTGATGTCAAGAGGCCCTTTCACCCATTATGATGTCCTGTGTCATGGTCAAGCATTCATCTACAAGATCAATCAATTTCCAAACTTCTTAAAGGTGACTGAGAAACTCACGTTGTGACTTCAGGTGATGACTCAGGACTCATGTAATCAACTCCTGATGATGAACTAGTGAGGAAGAACACGCAAAGGCTGTAATAAATCCAATAATCTCAATGAATTGCATTGAGAGAAAAGTTATTGTACCAACTGTATAGCACAGTCTGCAAGACTAACCCTCCCATAATGGAGTACCAAAATCATCAAACATTAACATACTGGTACCATAGACAATAAAAATTAAAGCCTCTGAATTTCAGAAAGGCATACATACATCTAAAGGGAAAGAACTATTTGCTTTTGCATGTTGATGCAGTCAGAGGCAAAAAAACCACCTATGTCTTAGCCACAGTCTCTTGATATAAAGACTTGGCAAATACTTTGAAAGCACTGAAGTGACCTACATTTTGCATAGTATAGGTATCATACCATTCAGTACTCAGGAAAATTAAAATGGCAACATAAGCATGAAATAATTTCATAACAGCAATTGATCCCAAGAAATAATGACTAAGATTAAAAAGAATAAAGCATCTTCTAAGGCTGACATGCATGGTACACATAAGTACCACAGCACCCTAATAATATACACACACTGATATACCATCAATGTGTGTCATCAGCAGCAAGCAGTCTATGTCAGGATTATATGATCACCACAACAGTACTACCTGTGGTGTGCAAGGAAAGCAGTCAAGTTGTCCAGGTTATGCTATCAAAACTGCAGCTTTCATGTGGTATCACACCATGAGCCTCCTGTCTGCAGAAGTCATGTGACAATGCAGTCTGACATTTCCTTCAGGCTATTCATAGACATCCTCATTTTCAGGCACTCATGAGCATGGGCAAGAGGAAATATAGAGGAAAACTACCTCTAAAAAAATATATTATGGATAAATTACCTTACTGTTGTTTTTTAAGGTACAAACTCATGATTACAAAAAAAAAAAACAGAGAACTGGTGAAAACTGGCTGCCATAAATAGGTTGTGAAGAAGAATGTCTCAATCACAATACATTTCCTTATCTCCAATTCTTGGATGTACCACTATGAGAGTAATGGAGATCCCAATGCTCTCATTGTTTATAATCACAGCACCACGTCCCCAGCCACCAATATCATTTTATACCTCAAAGCAATGGTGCCATGTGAGGGATAACATGATGCCTACATTGGCCCCATGCTAAATAACATGAGAGCTCTTTTTGGATTCTTGTGAAAAACTGGTATTGGTATATTTACCATACAGACTTCAAATTAGTGATCACTAACAGCTCTTATTAAGGAATCAGGCATCCATCCAGATAGGAGTTTATAGGAACATTGGATTCTCGAACCTTTGCTGCTTTGGTGGAGAGCGCTTCCTCTGGGACGTTGTTGTCAGACTGTCCAGTTGAGAGTCTTCACAGGCAACAGTGGCATCACTCTCTTCATCTAAGATCTTTCTCAAGTTGATCTTGCCTTCGAGTGTCATGCGAAACCCACCATCATATGACAAGTCGAGTGCAACCCAAAAACCCCGCTCGTTGCTCCAAGGCAAAGAAGCTCTATGGATCATGGGGACCTGACTACCCAGATCCAACTCAGTTATTGTCAGTCCTTCCACCACTGATGGCAACTGAGGAGAACATGCAGAATCCAGTGATTACCTCACTCCATCCATATTACCTCTGTTGAATCCCCACCCATTCAATTATTAATGACTCTCTGCCTTGTCACAGAAAAAAAGGCAGAAGTATTTTATGAACTTCCCTACATACTGAGACCACGACCTTCTTTTTTCAGTTAGTCCCAGTCAAGGGTAACAATACAATATATATAGTCAAGCCATGGAATCATGAAACCAGAGGGGAAGTCATTGCCATGGGACATGAGTGCACGATGTATGCTAGCACCACTCCTACTATGTCTGCAGCATTGTTGGACAGAGGCTTCTCTCAAGGTTATGCAAGACTTTTTAATACATTTCTTTACTGTCAATAAGATTTCTTCAATTTGGCAGCATGCTCTGGGCATGTGAAATCATTTGGTCCAAGTCATGTGCTTCCACTTGACCACACTTCCAATTTCACCATGAGGTGAAAGTGAGTCAAGAAACAACATCTGGGTCAATGATGAAATGAATGATGAGGTTGAGGTTGTTCAAGGTGAAGGTTAAAATCTTAAGCTACTGACAAACTTTTGCAAGATGAAAGAGGGCAGCACAGACTCTGCAAATGGATACTACCGAGACTTAAGTTGGGAAGTTTTCAGACATAATAACTCTATATCTTCAAATTTGTTGAGGATGCATACTCTTCAGTAAAATCAGACACAATGTTGGCCCACTCAGACTTTAGTAAAGTACACTATGACAATTCTCAATGTTACAGGTTTTAATGGCTCGCCATGTGCACAAATTTCAATAGAGAGCATTGAGCGACATTTCCAAAAAGCTTGTTTCATGCAGTTTTGTTCTATTTCGTTGTATATTTGTTAACATGAGGGGTCAATATTCACTAGAGCAAAGGGTGTGGATAGTGACTAAATTCATGGAGACAAGGTCAAATGTCGCCACCCATTTTATGCTAGCCATGAACATATTTTAGCATAATTCCAGTATAATTTGTAAAACTTCTTTGATATCAATAAAACTGCAGAGCCTTAATTTGAGACATTACTCATTAAAATCAGTAGTCAATTATATAAATCAGAACTTATGAAAATCAGAACAATTAAAATTGTCACCCTGTATATAAAGCAAAGAGGTACAAGGCAGAATGCCTGCACCACACTTTTTTCCCTCCAATAATCTACATATTATTTTAAATACTGTCAGACAAGAACCTCCACCTAAATCAGCCACAGTCTCATTATTCATTTTTCCTTCAACTAATGAATCTTTCTTGTTCTCTCTAGATCTCCCAATGATCATCTTATAACTCCGCAAGGAGAGACTTACCCGCAATCTAGAGAGCTTTTGCTGGAGGCGATCCTTGACTTTTGCAGCATAGGTACAATCACAAAGGAAGTCAAAGAAGAGTCGTGCAACAAAAGCATTGAGCCATTGCAGATCTGATGCCCTATCTAGTGGATCCAGAGTCTCAAAATCCAGTTCTTTCATCATGGAGCGAGGCTGGCGGTTGATCTCCGTTAATGGCTTTGTGGGATCATTGTCCTAAAATAATAACAAACCAGCAATGTAAAAAAATTTATATATATATCTTCTACCATGCTTTACACTTCATGAATGAAAATTTAGAAGGAAATCCACAGCTGCATTTCCAATTACTGGAGATCAGAAAATACACAGTATAGGAGACTGAAATTACTTGTGCAGTAGATGTCCCTAGCAAATATATTCTGTCATGTCTTCTAATTCTGGCCTTCACATCCAGATCCTTCAGATTGGAGTAACAATAACAAATTTTGACTCCTGAGCAAGAGTTTCACAAATATACCCATTTTCATTATATATTTTGTTTTGATGCTAAAACCCCTATATTTAAGGCATTTTCTTTTTTTCATGGTTCAGATCAAATTGTGGCATGAACTTCACAGGACATTCATGCCAACACAAACAAAATGATCATACTCCATCACTTCCATCACCTCCAGAACTAACATCAACATTTTGGTCTATTATTTCATCAGAGGCATTAGGCATTTCCACATTTGCAATAAGGAACCATAATGGACAGAAGTGAAATGCATTTGGCACAGTGGTACATATGAGTGTGAATGCAACACAACTCTGTCAAATTGTATTTTAGAAAAAGAACATGCAAAAGCAATGGAAGAGAGAGGAGCCCAATACTGCCACTTCAGTTCCAATGATGTTAAAAGCAAAAAAAAAAATTAAATGCAATTAAAAGGGCCAGGACATCATTAACCCTTTCCAGTCCTCCAACCTGGTTGGACCCTGGAGGTTTCCCTGTTCCATAATAAAAAAATGAACCAGAAAGGATTAAGGAGGGCAAGAGGATCCTTAACAAAACAAACCATTCCAGGCAATGTGTCCTTCAGAAGCAGAGGTGAAAAATCAGAATATGGCATATTATTGAAATAAGAATACATGCTGGGGATGTTCATATTTCAACGCAACATAGGAAATGTTTTGCCACCTGTATGTTAAGTTTGGGTATTGCTACAAGACCTACCAGGTTGCATATCTGCAAGGAAACACAAAACACACCAGTGATTGTTCTTCTCCTTACAGATATGCAGCCTGGTGAGCTTAACGACACTTTTTGAATTATTTTCTGAAAAGGCATCAAAATTATCCCTATATTGCATTTAAATATGAACACCCTGTATAATGACTGGGAGAAGCCATAAATGACAGCAATGTTCTACCAAATGTGAACTACTTTATAGCATTCAATATAACATGTATAACATTTTATAACATGTAATCTATCAAAGTATGATATCTATGAAAATTTAACAGCAGCAAACTCCTTGAATCTTAGATCAATAATAAGCTAATTAGGTTCACAATTTGCAGCATCTAAGACAGTAGATGACATGGTAGATCCATGGTGAGAAAAAGGACTCCCCTTTTTGTGATGAATATCAGAATAGTGACTGGTGAATCTTATTATTAACACCCTCCTCCAGAGACTCACCAGTCACAGTTCCAATATTTACACCAATAAGAGCACACCTCTCTCTTACCCTTTTCTTTCTCAATGTAGCTTGATTTTGTCAGCCACAGTCTCAACTGCTTAGAAAATGTCACCTGATACCAAGATAATTGATAAATTATATTCCAAGGAACTTGCCGGAGCTGAATTTCTTTTAAATTTCAACCTAATGGATTTATAGTTAACTCAAAACTGTTCCCTGCAGTTGGTAGGGAACAGTTCCATCCCTGTAATTCATGATGGCTTAACACCCTCCATTTTGCCTCTGTATATGTTGTGCCATATTGTTTCTCATCTCTGCTCGGGAAGATGTGAATATTGCCTGAAAAGCTGTTTCTTTTTTATTATTATTATTCTCTTTGTTCAAAATCCATCTATTTCATTTTACTTTAAATTACTTTTCATCTTTTGGGCTTCTTTGGGACTATGGAGCCCCCTTTTCTTCCATTTCTTAAAATTACATATAGTAATATATGAAACTGTACCAACAGGAAGAAGTTTAACATCTTGAACTGCATGGGACAACTGCTCATATTGATTGCACATAAATAAACAATCACAGATCAATCCCTTCAACATACTGTTGTCTCTAGAGACATGTATGTGACATTCTGTTATGTTGGTAGGAAATAGTGGAAGCCAAAGAGTACCTCTGGTCCTTATGAAACTGAATTTTCTATGAAATAGGGGACAAGAGAGAGAAGTTTGCAAACACCAATTTGAGGTATCAGATGATAAAGACAGACTTTAAAGCCAACCTGCATGAGGTGTCTCTCTCTCTCTTGACTCTAGGATGTTCAAGTAACATCTGCAGTCAGTCACTCTACAAGGTCACAAATAGTGCCATTGAATGGTTCCACAAGGGGGATGGATGGGAAGCAGCATAAGAGTGGATGCAATCTTGAATTTATGTAACAATTACATTCCTGGGTGGTGTTCTGGTAGAGTTGGAGTTTTTGAAGAGACAATAAATAAATAAATCAAATATCAAAGAGATTTAGCCATGAAGACATTTTCTGCATGTGAAAAAAATGTCAGGTGATATCCATAAAATTGATTGACTGCCAGTTACAAACATCTCAGCTTCAGAGCCCATCAAACTATCTTCTTACACAACACCTGCAGATTTTGAACTCAGCCTGCCGAGTTGGAGTGAAACTTTCTCTAAAGTTTCAAGGTGATGTAACATTAAATGGGTTTAAAAACCATCTAAATTCCAGTTTTGTGTTGGTGTGAGGAGTATTCCCTATACTTCATATCATGAGATGTTAAACAAATCCCATAGGATAACACCATCAAAGGTTCAAAATTAGGCTTTTTCAGCCCAAAACAGTCCTGTAGATCAATATTTGGCCTAGCAAGGGATGATTTCAGAGTTGAGCTAGGTTGGAAACCTGACTTGATTCCACTGACACTCTGACCTCAATCCATACAACCCCAATAGCATTAGACCTGGCCATAATGGCATCATGTTGATCAAGATTCCATTGAAGCTGTATCAGCATGATGTCAGAATACACCCGATTGCAGACAGTATCCATGGCATGAAGGCCCATAAACAAAATGCTCTGATAAACCAACATTTATGTGAACCCACCCCTAGCTCATCAAGCCTAAGCCTAAACTTGTATAAAAGCCCTTGAGCTCAGAAAGAAAGGGAGAAAAAGAAACAATTACTAGGCTGAGATAAAAGACAATAACACCACATCACTGCATCCCATGTTAGTGTTAATGTTGGCATTTGTGGTACCACCAAAGCAGGTGTAGGGAATAAGCCACTACCACTGAGCAACCATACAAGTGCAGAACACTATCTCCATACTTAAACTCACCCACTATGTTTTTGTCTAGTCACAAAACATCTAGCTTGGCCAAAGAGGTTTCATCCATTGAAGCTTGGATCATCAGAAGCATCTCCAAAAATGGCAAGTACCAAGTGGACTGGAACCTGACAACCACCAGATCATTCAAGTGCAATCTTGCCCCATTCTACACCACTGTGCTGAACCAGGCAATGCCAATCCTCTTGAGATATGAAGTTTCTAGGATATGTGTTCCACCTGTCACTACTCCTCAACCCTTAACCTTGGAGGCTTCAGAAATGATGGTTCTTTTAATTAGGCTGTACAAAATCATTGCTATAAATTTGGTTCCTCTTGTTCAGTCCATCTCCAGTGAATGGGACAAGTGAAACAAAGACAAAATTTTGCCAGAAAAAGGTGAAACAAATACATTACAGTTCTCTTCTGATTCCAGGCCCTACAGTGTATAGGTTGGCACATAATCTTCTGCAAGGGCATCCCCACAATACTTCTTTCTCTCCAGAAGTAAGAGTGCATTAAGACAAGGCATTAAGTCAATGGTACTTAGCATTTATATGTAAAGAAACCTCCTTGGTATCTATTTCTTTCTGACAACCACTGTTGTCAAATGTTTTCATTTTGAAAATACTTGTTAAGGCCTTATGCAGTTTTTACATGGCTTGAAAGGATTGGGGGTGGTTTGTTTCAGGCATAACTGATCCAAATAACTGGTCAGATGAAAAATTATTCTCAGAATCCAAGAACCTTGTGTAGAACATAATGAAGTAGGTGTTTCATGATTGTTTTTCCAACTTTACAGGAACTGGTCACAGGAAATTCTATGATACCCATTTTTCCAAATGAAGCAGATGGCTTTGAAAGAGTGCTGCTTGTTTTTGCTGATATTTTTTTGCAACTGGAATGAGTAAGCAGGAAATGTCACATTCAATGCAATGATCATCTGAAATGGAGCCAAAGCATCTGAGAAAACAACAAATATTTGTAGGTATTTAGTCTAATACTGAGTTCTGACACAAGGAGGATGACTTAACTGTTCCATTTCTACAACAAATAGTTACAAATAAAGAGGCCTTCAACATTCAGGCATGCAAATGCAATCATCCTTTGACTGCATGCTGCTAATTAGTGCCAGCAACTGGCTCCAGGGCCCTCAATAATAACTAAATTTAAAAACTGCAATACAAATAGGTTAATTTTCATCAACCTGTAATGACCTAAAGACTTAGAGAAAACATGACTGCAGTGACTAACCTTATGCTGAGGAAGGACTCTTTCCATGTACAAATCAAAGGAGAGAGTTTTCCCGGGCCTAGGTGGGCTGAGGCTGTCAACAGGGATGCCAAGAGAGCCTGCCAGACGTTGGAAGAACTGCTGTTGGGTGGAATCAAAGGAGGGAATGCTGACCTCCATGGCAACATCCTTACTGCCAGCAGTCAAGTGTCGAAACCTGCGAAGAATGCAACATGAGATATGCAAAATGGATGGGATATGAAAGAAAAAAAAGGAGCCTCCCTACCAGTCCTCCTTTTCCCGTGCAGTGCGGGCAAAAATCAGGAGATCCTTCCTGGTTGAAGAATGAAGATTCCTCCAGCTTTCACTAGGCCTTTTCTTCTTTTTTGTCAATGCTCTCCTTGTCTGGTTTTCTTCATCCTCTTCCTCAGATTCACTATTGGACTCTGACTCATTCCAAGGTCCCTCTGCACCTACTGTTGGAAGAAGTGACTTCCTCATTGGGCTATTTACCAGTTACGTAGAAGTATGACATAATGCAGTAAGGGCTTCAGCCAGGGATGAACCTAATGAAACTTCTGCTGCCTATCAGTTTGAGGTTTTTGAGTTTCATGTGGATTATCAAATGACTGCCACTCAAGGTCTATAACTCTATGGGCTGAACTTTCTTTTAGCTAGCATCATTTATCCTGAGGCAAACTACTTACAAGTACATAAGTCTATTCATCAATTTTTAATTAATGACTTTTGTATAACCAATACAAAAGTGGTAGGAAAGACAGATTTAAGAATGTCCAAACAAGCCTTTGGGAATCAACAACCAAGCTACTCAATGAAAATGGACACTTTGCCAACACCTTTCTTAACAAACAAATACTACTGATAAAATGAATGGAGATAATGGAGCAACTGAAAAACATGTGTCCAATGCTGATAAGGGGTGATAAAGTAAGGGCTTAATGTTGGTAGGGAGGAGAGCAAGAGAAGCTGCACCTGCGGTAATGACTCAAGCAAGCAGCTGCTCCTGCTTTTATAGTGGAATGGCTCTATGGCTCTCTGACATCACATGTACAGAATCATAACCCCTCCCTCTCTGGCAGGGGTAAGTACTTAGTTCCAGACTTCTTGGAAGCCAAAGATGTAAGATGGAACCTCTTCAAACCCACCTATCAGGAAATTGGGTATTTTGAAATTTATTACCATTGTGCAGGGCCAGATTAAGAATTTGTGAGGCCCAGGGCAGGTTGATTCTTGGGGCTTCCCCCTCCCCAAGATATTTTATATGGTGGTGGAAGTAGCCTAGAGGAGCCACACAGAAGAGTTCTGGTGGTGCAAATTTTTATTTGTAACATCTGCTACTTTTAATACTTAGCATTTCTAATTTCCTTCAGGGGGCCTCCCTGGGTATGTGGGGCATGGGGCAACAGCCCCCTTTGCCCCCCCCCCCCCCCTTAATCCAACCCTTCTGTTGTGTGCTATTTTGGGCAACCCAGTTTCAGTTAATGCCCAAGAATTATGCCTGATAATAATAAAGTATTTGAAAAACAACCCAGGATGAATGGCTCACCCTATAGTTAGAGTGCTAGCAGCCCCACACTTGTTTAGGCATTAGTTCTCAAATGAGATATTCAGGAACGTAAATGAAGAGGGCAGACAAAGGGCTTACAGGAGGTATGGGAAGGGTCAGGAGTTTTGCTTGCTTCCTGAAGTGGCTGTTCTTCAACAATGGCTCTCAGAGAGGAGCCAAGAGAAACCGGTGGGTTGATGATGTGTTCCTCCGAATCCAGGCTCGTGGTCACGTTCAAAGCCTTTGCCAGCAGGCTTACATTTTCCTTCCCCATTTTAACATTTTCCTTCAGCAAACACTTCTTGGCAAGCCGGATGTGAATGGGGAATTTTTTCGACCAAAGCCTGAAGATATTGTATCCATTATAGATATTGAACAACAATATCTCATCAATATGAAAGCAGCAAGAGATCACCTTTTACGAGCCAAGTTTTCCGGCAAGAGCATGACTTGAGATCCTTTGAGGTCATAGACTCGATGAAAGCTGAACTTCGCCTTGATGGGTTCCTCGTTGTGCATAGCTCGCATCGGGATCTGGGCACCGGTATTGGAGATGCACAAGAGGGTCCCTTCCAGCGTCATGTAGATGGGACGTAACTGAGCCATCTCGAAAGTCTCTTGATTATATTTATGCTTTGCATCTGTTTCCAACATCCACCCCTCGAAGGAAAGAAAAAGCAAAGACATACTTGTACCATACCTGAAGAAAATCCAGCATTAGTGACAAGGCAAAGAACACACTGTATTATAAACGTACAGTGCGTGCATGACATAGGAGGGTGGGAGATGGCGGCTGACTCTCAGTTGGCACAGGGAAGTACAAGTTGTATGCAGCGCTCTGATGGATATGAGGACCGTGTAGCCGATCTGACTTTTTATCTGATGTCCAAATATGGAATAGAAGGAAATACAAGACTCCTCCGGTTGCTAGGACAGCTCCCATGAAAAATCCCAGGAAAAATGTTGGGAATAAATGTATAAAAACCAGAACAAAAGCCAAAATGCATCCTCCAAATATGAGCTTTCTTCTCGATTGTCCTGGGGCAATCGAGAAGTACGATTGAAGTTTCTCCCACTTGGTCAGTGGACCCAGTTCCTTGCCCAGCATGGCAAATTCTTGAGCATCTTCAAATATTCCTGTTTCACTGTTTGTTGAGGGTGTGCTTGTGAAGGACTTGAGTGTCTCATAGGATTCATCAGGCGATGGGAGATTAACATCCAGCAACCCCTTTCTCGAATGGGGTTCGTTCCCCACCTTCTCAAAGCCTTCCTCATCGTCACTGCATTCCTTCCCTCCTTTTCTCATTCCCTCCTGTTCCGTTCCCGCCTCCGGCTCGGTTTTCTCCGACAGGCGCTTGAGGGAAGTGATGTGCTTGAGATGCTCACCCAACTTCCCCTCCACCGTACCGGCTAGCTTCCCCTTCCACTCCTGAAATCGGCTCCAGCTGCCCTCATACTGGCTGTTGTCGAAACTGGACGACCGCCGACCGAAACGCTGCTGGAGGAATTCTTTCACCGGGGACGTCTCGCCGAGGTGATGCTGAATCCGCTGCCTGATCCCTTTCGATGAAAAAGCGAACCTCTTCGGACTGGCATCTCCGTTCCCCTTCTCTTCGTCTAGTGACCCCTCTGCAAAGGGCAAAAGAGACCACTGCGGCTGAGAGGGTCACCACAAGTGAAAAGCTTCCAGGAACTAGGTCCCCCACATAGCAGCCGCTGCCTTTCGGGTCAAATCAGATGTGACCACAACAAAGGTCCACAAAGTTCCAATCGCATTAGATTATAGTTCACGGACACTGACTGGTCGATCGCAGGGTGCAGTACTGATAGCAGTACTGATAAGGTTCAGACGAACCTCGTGACTCGTCGCAGCCTTCACTTTCCTAACTGATCAGAGTGGAAACCGAGGGCGTGAATCATCGCATGTTTTGCCAGCAGGAAGTGTGGTTAGATTAGCGTAAAGTTCGTCCGTGTGTTTGTACAAGAACAACAGAAAAAGTCGGACAATTAATTGAGAGTTATCGAGAAATTGCGCGGTTCGGGTTAGTTTCCCCTCTAGGTGTAAAAATGCTTTGTCCTTATGAGACTTGCGCCAGGAAAGGGAGTAACTACGAGAGACATTCCAGAAGAGGCTCGAGTTAACTATAATTGATTGTATTCGACTTCAAGAGAGGTGAAAGACTCCACGGTGTGAAACTATATAGGCAAGGGTCTTAACCCTTTCGGGGTCATCACTCGTCCTAGCGTCCGCGCTTGCAAAAATTTTTTTTTAATAGTGAAGTGTGTATTGTAGGCGAAATCTCCTGGTGGAAAACTTTTCGTTTTAGTATTGCCTATGCTTTATGATGTGGTTAGGAGTCATTTCCCCCTAATATTATCGTATCTTTTGTTTTCGTCATGATATGATGTGGCAAGCGTGGCATAGTGAAACAAATTGAATATATATTTTGAATGGTTCATTTTCGGACTCACGCGGTAACCGTTACAAAAAATTGTCCATTCAGGTAAAATTGGGACGATGAAACTGAGGTAAAAAAAAAACAGTTTTTTCCCCCGTCTCTCAACCTGCCAGAAGACCCCTCAGGTAACGTTTTGTATGGGAAGAGTGCTATAAGTAATGTTGTTGGAGAACAGTTTTCTGTTAGCGATCAGTCCTGTGATTGTGAGAGCGATGAATTTGAACAGAATCCCTCAAGAAGTGCTCAAAATCATTGCTACAACACACCAACGGTTCGCAAACTGAAATGTACAACTGGTGATACACAAGAGGTCTCCAAACACACTTTTTCTTTAATGATTGCGCAGCTAACTACATATGCACCCTGGGGTCAAGTACACAGAGGTAGAAAGTTTGGGAATAGCTGTACTAGACGATGCATCCAGAATTCAGAGTTTGTACCTGATAAAATGCATCAAATCCGCTAATATCCAAACATGGTACTCGTAACCACTGTGCATATAATGAATAGGCAGTCTTCCCAGAAAATTTAGTCAATTTATCTCCGCTAAAATATATTCTACAGTAGTTTTAGTGCTGTTAGTACTTACGACCAATTCTCTA